CCATCAGCACTCTGCTTCATTGTTTCTCTGAACACCTTCCCTTTTTTTCTCTCAGATGCATTTATCACATTTTTAATTATTGTAAACAGATAGTATCGAATGGTTCAATTTAATACTCGCTGTACACTGTTTTACGACAAAACAAAACAAATTGTTTTATTTATAAATATAGTTTATTGCCTAAACACGGAGTGTGCATCTTTTCTAGTTTTTGTGTGAAAAGAAAATCACTTTTATTCTTCTGCAGTCATGAAGACATAACATAATGAAGTCCATTTTTTACATAATTCCTTAAAAGGTACAACCAAAGAATGTGTTTTCAGCAAACAGCCCCTTGTATAAAAAAAAAGAAGTACACTTTAGCACACTTTTTAAAACAAAATGACTAATTACAGAAAATATATTTTAGAAAAACATACTCAAGTGCAAACTGAATGTGATATCTTTGGACACTTAAATGCATGTTATTTACAATTAAATGAAAATATGGTTTAAATTGATGTTAAATGCAATTAGTTGAACTTTAGTGTATATCGCTGTTTGTAATTTCATAATTACAGACAACAGATGTTGTCTTTGAAATATGATTAAAGTATACTGCCGAAAGTGCTGACAAGCATTTATAATAAACTAAAATATACTTTAATGTTATTTCTATTGAAACTTGTATGTAATATGTTAGTCAACACATCAAAATAAGTGTGCTTCTTTAAAGCATGACAAAAGATTATTAAAACAAGGGTTTAAAATGTACTTCAAGTGTGTTAAGAAACAGGCATGAAAGTGTACTCTCTTTAAACGCACTTAAGTGGAGTTTTAGTATGAAGTACAAGTGCAAATTCAATACAATTAAGAACTTCTTTTTCACAAGAAACACAAGGGAATTTTATATATGTGCTTGTGGGGGGGAAGTCACAGCTAATTTCCAATGATGGGTTTTATTCTCATAAAGAAAGTTTTCCCACACTGATTCTGACAGTCTGCCAGCGTTTATGGGAGAAGAATATATTTCATTCTCTTTGGCTCTCAGAAGAGCTGTTCTATGATTTATATTTCCACTGTATCAAAGCAAGATCCAGGGACAAGCCGTAATTTATATACAACTCAGACTGAACACATGATAACCCTTCATTTGACAAGATGAAGCATCATCAATCGCACAAGTGAAAAACTTCATTTCTGGTCCCCCAACGCACACATCTGGAGTCAAATCCACTCTAACAGTCTTCAAGTTTATTTACACAACATTTGAATATTCATTAAGCACATGATGCCATATTTAGAACAGAAGAATTTTGTCAGATCCAGTTATAGCTCTGTTCTCTTGAGACATTACAGTCAGATCTTTTTTTAATGCTAGTGTGTGTAACTTGTTAAAATGCTTTCTCCTTTCATTTTAATGTTCAGTCAACTATAAGAAAGCCATCCGTAGGCTGACTTTCTGAAGAGTGGACACTGATGCTGCTGCATTGCCTTTGTTAAAACTTTAGGGATTGGAAAACAAATAGTGAAAAAAACATGTTGGTTTGAGCTATATGTGTAATGGTGTGCAGTGGTGTATAAAGTACCTGAAAGCCATACTCAAGTAAAAGTACAGATATCTTACCAGAAAATGACTTTGGTAGAAGTTGAAGTCACCGTTTAGAATATTACTTGAGTAAAAGTCTTAAACTATGTGATATTTATTGTACTTAAGTACGAAAAGTATTTGTTTTTTTATCTTAAATGTACTTAAGTATTGAAAGTAAAAGTACAAGTAAATGCAAAATGGAAAAGATAAAAAATGTTCATACACAGCTTGAGTTGCAAGATTGTGTTCAGTTTTAACTCTTTCTTCCATTTTGTATTTTTGGGTAAGAATAAGAAGCACTTCATCGGGTACTTAGTGTCTTTTATTCCAACATAAGAAAACATTTCTGGAATCTGCATCTGAAATAGCATTTAGATGTATTTACTAGGGTTGCAAAGGGGTGGAAAATTTCCGGAAACTTTCCAGAAATCCCTGGAATATTCCAAAAAAAATCCTGGAAAGTTTCCAAAATTTCTGGAATATGTCCGAAATTTACTGGAAATGTTCCACCCTTTTGCAACCCTAGTATTTGCACAGTTTATGTATCTCAGAGGGGACTTGAATGCATTTAAACTGCAGTTACAGATGCATAAATAGGCCTAATGTTTTGTTTTTAACATAAAACATTGAATACTGATATTTGAAATAATTTAAAACATGAAAAAAATAGTCGAAATGTGAAATTAAAACCGCCAGTAGGTGACAGCAAGTGCTTAATCAGTGAGTCATCGAGATTCAACCGATTCGTTCAAACGGCTGATTCATTCAGGAACAAAGCATTTGACTGTGTTAATGAGTGAATCCCTGAATCATTTATTCAACCGATTCGTTCAAAAAGTTGATTCATTCAATAAGTAAACACGGTCCATTGCTCAGAGACGCAAAACAGTGCCGTGATCTTTGTTTGGAACTATTTTTGTTGGCAAAATTGAGCAAAAACAAGCAATATTATGTCTAAAATGTAAGTCACTTATTCCTTTACTGAACTTGTATAAAATGATTATTAAATGTGTTCATGCTGATATCTGCAGAAAAACGGTACTCTTTGTGTGATATAGATTAAGTTAACTATATTAAATTATATAAATATAAAAAGCATACAGAAGCATTTTTGCCGTCTACAATTTAGAAAGCCTGGAATTTTGAGTTTTAATAGACTAATAAATCACGTGCGTGCGCTCTGTGTGTTATTGGGTGATATAGCCTACTTGATAATGTCAGATTGCACATCATTACAACAACACTTACCATATTATCGCAGACGATGCTGTATCGCACACCCCAGACTCGACTTGAGTGGAAAATGAATTATCTGCGGTTGTGCGTGCACTTCTTTGCACATGAGCAACGGTGTTTTTAGGAGTCTAACTTGCAAACGCCAGACCACTGATTCGTCAAACCTGCTTTCCTGCAGTTCGTGTTCTTCTGAATTCTGACTATTTTGTAGTAAGTAACGAATATGCTTCAGGGGAAATGTATCGGCGTAAAAGTATACATTTTAATTAGGAAATGTAATGGAGTAAAAGTAAAAGTTGGCTGAAATATAAAAACCATAGACTGTATATAAACATGGACGTAGTGTCGTCACCCGTAGGTTCCTGAAGAGGTTTTTGAAGCTCAAAGTGGGCAGAGCCGGCCGTCGCCATCTTGGCAGCGCGTCACTCCCAGATAATCGAAAATGGGCAAAAAGGCGGGAGCTGGTTGCTGAAACCACGCCCACCTAGCTCGATGGCGGTGACAGCAGCGCCAAGCCACCTGTCACTCAAGTGGCCACACCCTTAATTATGCAGAACTTTAAGGCTTAATATAATTTAAACGGATGACTTCTAAAAAAATTCACCCCCCCCCTCACAGTTGTCATGAAGGGCAAAATTAGCTATATAGACCAAAATAATTTTTTGAACCGGGCCATAAACAATATTTTTTTCTGCTGTAATGTTGGGCATTTTAACATGGGGAGTCTATGGGATTGACTCCCTTTTGCAGCCAGCGTCTAGCGGCCAGTCGATGAATTACAGTTTAAGTCACTTCCTTGTTGGCATCACGAGAGAGAGCGGGAGGTTGCCGCTTGATAAAAACTCAAGTAAAGTACAGATACGCCCAAAAAATACTTAAGTACTGTAACGAAGTATTATTACTTCATTACATTACTACGGTGGCCGAGAAGTGCAAGACAAATCACAACTCTGAAAACAAAATAACAAATTACAAACGCAAATGCAAGTCTAAAACACAACAACAATTCAGAAAACATTATAACAAGTCAGAAAAAAAAGTTCGGCAAAAGGCGGGATCGAACCCGGGACACGTGCACTCATCCATCTGCGCCAGTGGAGCTGATGTTTTACAGCCACTTTTAACTAAATGTAAATATACACTCCGTATTTTTTATTCCATAGTAAGGGCAATTCATACAATACATTTAAACTGAGCTACTTTAATACCATCTCCGAACTTTCTACCACGACTCTGCTGTTCTTCGGCTGGTTCTTCCCTGTATACGTTGATTGACAGATGTCTCGTCCAGTCAGCGGTGAGTAATCCCAAACCAATGGCGCTGTCTCAAACTATACCTACCTCTTCCGTTTTGTCTGATTTGTCGTTGTGTTTTCTGACTTGTTATTTTGTTTTCGAATTTGTCATTGTGTTTTCTGACTTGTTCTTTTGTTTCTTAGACTTGCATTTGCGTATGTAATTTGTTATTTTGTTTTCAGAATTGTGATTTGTTTTGCACTTCTCGGCCACCGTACATTACACCACTGATGGTGTGTAACACTTTACTATGACATGAACATTTTATGCATTTTGAGAAAATGAAGCTGTATGACAGTCACACTTTAGCATACTTTAAAAAAGATAGGCTAATTTATTATAGAAAACAATTATATACTTTAAAATAATACACTGAATGTAAAGTTTTTAGACTTAATTGCGTTATTTACAATTACATGAAACATTTTTATGTGTAATATATATATTTCTACATTGGAATTTAGTACATTTAAGATATAATAAATGTAATTAATGTAAAGTAAAAACTAAAATATTGGGTAACAAACTACAGTTAAAATTATAATCAAGCACAATGTGTTCTTTATGTTAACACATCAAAATAAGTGTACGCCTACTTTATTAAATGATTTAAAATGTAAAACGTTTAATTTGACAATTAAAATGCAATTTAATTGATAAGAAATATCATGACAGTGTACTCTCTTTTTTTAAATTTTTATTCTTTACTTAAACACGTAGATAAAAGCACGGTCTGTGACTGTGTAGCTTTTTGTTTGTTATCTATCTGCTACTAAAGGCTTACCTACATCTCAAATGACACATGCAAAGTGTCTCTTTTATCTAAATGGCCTTATTTTCTTCTGCGGAGGTTGGCAAACCAAGCTGAGTTTAGCAAATAACAGCACTTCTGCTGAAAGCCGATGGAGTCTGAGTCGTGAACCAAACATGTGTGCTGTGCGCGCGTGCGTGCGTGCGTGTCAGCTGACGGCTGCAGAGGGAGCGGCGGCGACATCTTGGATTCACGAGTGAACGGTGACCGCAGCCTAAAACACCGAATACCCGGAATAACGCCGAGCTTCGGTCAGACGCGGACACCGCTGCCTCTGCTGAGCCGGTCCGGGGGACACGGAGACTGACACACAGAGGTGAGTGAGGGAATCCACCGTCGGGTCGGTGGGCTAGTTAGTTAGCTTGACCAGCTAACCAGCCGGACGCGGGTGTTTTACGTTAGAGTCGCTGATGGAAATGTGTTAAATGAATAACATAGAGTATTTGGGAGCCGATAATTAAAGAAAACATCATTTAATACGCTTAAAATCGTGATGTCTTTGCATTTGAATGGAAAAAGCTGCGGCTAGCGGCACATAACGTTACCTTTAACGTTACCGTCAACAATTTCGGTCCATCTCGGACATGTATTTTAAATTAAATAATCAAATCTGTTCTATTGAGACGACGATATAGAAAGCAAACAGCATGTATTTAAATGTATTAGTGGTTGTGAGGCGAGATGGACAGTCGCAGTGGGACATGACGGATGCGGCAGAGAATCACGAAAAATAAAAACCATTAAGAAATCGAAATGTTATCAAATCCGGGACAGAATTGCTGTGTGAACTCTTCTGGTTTTCCATCAGCGGCCATGATGGATGCTGTAGAGCGCAGAAATGTCATCATCCTCATCATAATAGTCATCATGTTCTTATGAATATACAAATATATTCATAGGGCGCTGGAACTGTTGTGACGGGGTTTATTGTTATGTTGTCGAGTGGGCAGGCTATGTAGACTGACTGTGTATTAATAATAATTTCACTCATAATTCATTGCAGAGGTTACTTACACCTGCATAAGATTTAGAATTACATAAGCTGTTCTGTTCCTGTCATTCAGAGAGGTGTGTGTCAGTCACGGGAATGTAAAACCTGACATGAAATAATCATTAAAGGGGTCATATGATGTGATTTCAGTTTTTTCTTTCTCTTTGGAGTGTTACAAGCTCTTGGTGCATAAAGAAGATCTGTAAAGTTGCAAAGACTAAAGTCTCAAATCCAAAGAGATATTCTTTATAAAAGTTAAGAGTCAGCCACGCCCCCTAAAACGGCTCGTTCTAACACGCCCCCACATGTCTACCTCACTATGTGGGAAGATTTGCATAACGCCGCCCAAATGTTCACGCGAAGAAAGGCGGCATGGTTTCAGTAACCGCAGTTAGTGTTGATGCAGCATGTCAGGGAGACGCTGTGTGTTTCAGTGCGAAAGCAAAAGCACTTTATTTGGTCTTCCGGAAGTAGATGCAATTAGGAATCATTGGTTAAGATTTATTTACAACAGAACAGCACAACCCAGATGTTCGAATTTGTGCAACGCATTTTATGGACGACCTAGAAGAGTACAAGGCTGGCTGTGCACAAAGGCTATTTCTAAAAAAAAAAAAAAAAAAGAGGGTCAAATATTCAATATCGCTACTCATCATAAGTACTTGGTACATTATCAGCGCAGCGGCAGACGTTCAAACTAATATCAAGCCTCCCTTGCTAGGTTTCTTTTCTCAACACTCCTCAGCGCTGACAGTGAACACTCGATGGTGATTGGCAAATCTTTTTACCAACGGAGGCACGAGAGCTCATCTCTCCCCCGGCCTCCCACTACCCTTCTCTATCATTAGCGGTTGCTCACATCACAGGAGTCAGCTGTCTTAACCGTGGCTTGTGTACTGCAAACACATACCAGCTTCATCACTGTGTCTGTCACGCGACTCTGTTGCCCTTTCGGTCTTGAACTGATGGTAAAACTAACCGCAGCATTAACTGTCTTGATATTTATTTTGAAAGCTGAAGCTCGCGATTATGGTAAGGGGCGTTACATTTCCGACGCGTGCTTGTGGTGTTCGGCCAATCACAATGCACTGGGTCAGCTGGCCAATCAGAGCAGACTGCGCTTGTCGGAAGGAGGGACTTTGTAGAAAACGAAGTGTTTGAGAGAGGCGGGGCATAGAGGACCTACAATAATGTACAGTATTTGAAAAATAATGTGTTTTTTGAACATTAAAGCATGTCAACATATTCTGTTACACCAAATAATGATCTTTAAAAAAGCATCATATGACCCCTTTAAAAATGCTGATATTTATACGGCTTGTAGATTTCACTTGTCACTCTATCTCCCAATAATGTTTTAGTAAGATAATATTTAAATGCTTAATTTTATAATTAAATCTGTTTTTTTTTATTGTGGAACCAAAACAGTGCGATACAATGATGATTGAGGGATGAACAAATAAACTTTCCTCAAAAGCCCGATGATCATATTTTTTAACATGATTTTTTATTTAAAAACACAATTATGGATAATCAAGTAAACCTAAGTTGCTTCAGTGTAGTAAGTGTTTATCTTGAAATATTACCAACAATATAAAGCTATTCTTGCTTTTAAATATCATTAAAGATTTCACAGCAAAAAGACATGTAAATCATGACCTGAAGGTGGACATTTTTACAGTTTATAATAAAAGGCATTTTACTTGCTAAAAAAGTATAAACTATCACTCAGTTGACTGAAGGATGGTAATACATTGTGTACAACAGTTTTCATCAAAGTTTTGATCATGTTGACTATTTAGAAGGCTTATCAAATATAATGCAGTAGACTTTATAGGGTTAAAGCTTTATATTAGAACTCCCCCCACACACACAAAAAAAAGGAGTTAAAGGTTACTTCAAGTGCTTTAAAATCAGGAATGTTGTACATGAGCAACAGAGTATTAATATACAATCTTTTATCATTATGGACGGCAACAACAGCTATCCAAATAGTGTATATTCAGACAGTTTGATAAAAAGAGATGTAATCCAATATATTCAGTCTGCCTGTAAGAACAGTCTTACTGGTTTCCAGATCTTGATGAAAATGTATCTTTTAATATAAATCTCAGTTCTTCCAAATGTAACACATTTCCCAGTTGTGTAAGGTTGTTTTTAAAAACATGGTTCACGTTCTGGCAAAGAAACTAAGTAAATAATTAAATAAATTAGCACGATAATATTGTGCATCGGCGATCTCACAGACTGATGACAGGATGACAGTTGAGCTTGTCGCCCGACACTAGTGTACATACAATTTAAAGTCTTTGTCCTTATTTTTTAATGAGTTCCCCATCCAGTGACTTACAGCTTGGCTCCACCTCTTTATTCAGTTTTCCAGCATGGCCCGTGAACACTGAGTGAGACCACCACCATGATCGGAGGACTCTTCATCTACAACCACAAGGGCGAGGTGCTGATCTCCCGTGTCTACCGTGATGACATCGGGTAAGTCAGGGAAATGTGAGGTTGTGGAGAAGTTGGACTTTGATTGCTTCAACAGGAAGTAGATCTAGGTTATAACATCAACATGTCCTTCATGTTCATGCATATAGATTTTTCCTGATGTGCTTCCTTTTCCACATTTCTTTTCCTTCTTTATTCACCCTGTCAGATCCGTTTGTTTCATTTGATTCTGTAGGAATAAAAGCAGTCAAATGTTGTGACCCACCTGCTTTTTATGTGTGACCCAGTTCCATCTTCATCTTCAGCCAGCATGTAAAGAGAAACGGGAGTGTGGAATACAATGAAGATCTATTTTAGATCACTGTTAGAATTTTAAAATGAAAGGTAGGCCTCTGATTGCGTGGAAGTTCCTTTCTGGAAGATCCAGGCATCCTTTAAAACCACAGAGATGGTCTGTTCAGAGAAGGGTTGCTATGGATACAGTGGGTCTGTACATCACTGCCAGCTCATACTGTCGCAGTGTGTGTGTGTGTGTGTGTTCACGCACGCATGCAGGGCTGTATCATTAGATGAAGTCGCAGTGTGTATGCCTGGAGGAAAGGGAACTCTGGGAAGAAGACGAGAGGGGCTGAAACAGTGTATGTAGCGTAAAAACAGACAGCTGAAATGAAGTGATGGTGATTATTTTTATATATATTTTTATATATAAACCCAGTGAGTGATAAAGGAAACATAAGCTTGGTTCCAAAACCTACTGAGGTGCCTACTTAGACAGCATTTAAAGTCATCATGAAATTAAAGCCCTCCCTGTCTACAGTTAATTTGTGTATATGTTTAACATTTTTTGACCTTGTAATATTAAATCAGAATGTCATATTTGAATCTTCTGGGGGAAAAAATGCCTCTCTGGTGATGTATACAGGTATTTTCCAATCATTTAGTAACTTAAACTCTGCCCATGCAAGCTCACATCTCAACAACCAATGCACAGAACCAAGTCTTGCTCAACATTGTTTCTTTTTTTTATAATCTGTTACACTGACTGTATGGATGTACATCACAGAATGGAAGAAAAGATTTGCCGCTACTTCTGATTTATTGCCACTTTAAGGAATTGTAGGTGTACTCAAGATCTCTTCCAGGTTAATCCGTGTTTCTGTCCTAACCAGCCTCAAAAGTTGCATTTTGTCAGTTGCTGAAAGGATGTCGCTTACAGTACCCTATGCATTTTGTGCTGTGCAGTATGAGAGAGAAAATGCTTTTCTGATTTTTGCTTTCAATCTAAAATTTGCTACTGGAATCTTGTTGCACCTGGATAGGACACGGTTTAGGACAGCATCTCAATGGTAGTTGCTTGGCTGGCACATGAACCCTCAGAAATTAAATTAAAATCAGACTTTTAGAGTCCGACATTAGACTTTGTCTTATACCCAAGTTTTGGATGTGATAACTATTTGTTTGCTGAAGAAGTTTTTTTTAGTGCTTATCATGTGGTTAGCCTGGCAACATGCTAATGCTAAACAATTACAAACAAATGTAAAAATCTCTTGTGTACTTCACTTTAGAATTAATATTACACATTTAAATAGAGCAGTTCTATCAGTCACGTACAAGGTGTCAGTTTGATGGAGGTGTTGAGTAGGTATAGTGTTGAGTTTTTGATACCAGAACTATCGAGCGATTTTAGGTGAACAGTTTTTGGGTTACCAGCCCAGTTGTTTGATAAGGCTGCAACTAACTCTTGTTTTTTTTTCTGGCAAATAATCTATTATTTTTCTGTTTAGTTGGTTAATCTAACAATTATGTTTCTGATAAATCAACACCAATCTCACACCATCATGATGGTCTTTCTGCAGGAGGAATGCGGTGGATGCGTTCCGCGTGAACGTGATCCACGCTCGCCAGCAGGTACGCTCACCCGTCAACAACATCGCCCGCACCAGCTTCTTCCACGTCAAGCGCTCCAACATCTGGCTGGCTGCCGTTACCAAGCAGAATGTCAACGCAGCCATGGTGTTTGAGTTCCTCTATAAGATGTGTGACGTCATGACTGCCTATTTCGGCAAGATCAGCGAGGAGAACATCAAGAACAACTTTGTGTTGATCTACGAGCTTCTCGATGGTATGAGGACTTCTCATTCCTGAATTATCCTTAAATTATTAATAAAGTAAAAAGAGATCCGCCTGTCTGTTGCTTGACGTAACAGTTGCAGTTGAGTTTTCTTTTCCCTCCAGTTCCAGCCAGTCCCACAACTTTTGTGCTGTTGTTTTTTTAGGTTTTGATTTTTATGAAATGTCAATGAGAAAATCAAAACCTAAAGAAAATACTGCACAGACAGACAGACATCTCCTCTGCTCTCTGAGATGGATGCTGTTAATATACAAGTGAATTCACATTTATTTGTATAGCACTTTATACAATACAGACCGTTTCAAAGCAGCTTCACGGTAATAAGCAGAAAAATAACTGTCAGTGTTGCACAGTTAATCAGCTATGAAACAAATTTACTTTCAGCTATAAAGCAGCTCTACAGTCATGGCCAAAATTTTTGGCAGTGACATAAATTTTGTGTTTTGCAAAGTTTGCTGCTTAAGCTGTTGTGGTGTTCATTCACATTGTTTCTAGATTATTGTGCAGAGTGATCAGATGCATTTTAAATAATTGCTAAAAGCCTCAATGGCCAAAAAATGAACTTTTCACAAATTTCATTGTTTTTTTGATCCTGACACAAAATGACCAGCTAACATTAATTGACTAATCATATCAGCTGCACATGTGAAAGTGTGAATAAGTACTAGTCAGGTCAAATCACTATCATACTAATTAGATTGTAAGAGCAGACTGATTGCTATAAAAGGATGGAAGAAGCGCTTCCAATCATTGTGTTCTTGTTAGCAATGGTTACCTCCAAAGAAACACGTGCAGCCATCATCGCTTTGCATCAAAATGGCCTCACATGCAAGGAAATTGCTACAAAGAATATTGCACCTGAAAGAACCATTTACCAGATCATCAAGAACTTCAAGGAGAGAGGATCGACTGCAGTGAAGAAGTCTTCAGGACGTCCCAGAGTGTCCAGCAAGCACCAGGACCGTCTCCTCCTGAGGAGTGGAACATGTGGAAAATAATCTATAAATACTGAAGCAGCAAACTTTGCAAAACACAATTTGTCACTGCCAAAACTTTTGGCCATGACTGATTATAATGCTCAATAAATGTAGAATCCCTTGTGATACCTGACATTTAAGACTCAATGACATGGATTGATTACCACAATTTTCTTTATTGAAGATGCTGACAAAAAATTTTTTTAAGCTGTAGTTTACATCCCTTCCATATAAAATCTCACTTTACAGAGTGTGCAATGATACATTTTAAAAATAAATTTGATGGTTGGGAAGCTCTATAAAACATAAGCATTAGTGTAATATAATTTTAAAACTGTCTTTTACTTGAACAACATTTATAATTTAATAAAAAATATTATACAATTACATTTCATTTAAATCTTATGTATAAATTACATTTAATTAAAACAATATAATAACTTTACTAAATATTAAACATTTTAAATGTTTATAATTTAACTCCCTAAAATATATACATTTAAAATGTATACTTGTTTATTATATAGTTGTATATTATATGTTTCATAATGTTATATATTAAAAATATATTTTTTAAATAAATATTTATGAAAGTGGGGGTTGTTTTTTTTCTGGTTAAAAAAAAAGGCTATTCATTTTTAATGCGTCTATCTAAAAGTTTGTTTTGTCAACGTGTTTAAGAGTACACCAGTATATTAGATGACCTCAACACTAACAGACAGGAACCAAAACTCCAAGGTTTTGACTTTATGGATTCTGTAGCACTGCTATATGAGTTCAACACACAGTCATAGTTTTTCTCTTTGCCCTTACTATAGAGATCCTGGATTTTGGGTACCCCCAGAACTCTGAGACCGGAGCATTGAAGACCTTCATTACTCAACAGGGTATTAAGAGCCAGGTGCGTTCTGAATGAAACACCAGCATTTGGTCCATTAGGTTTTCTAATATGTGAATGCTTTATGAAAATGGACAGTTAATGTTCCTATAATAGAAGTGTTGAAATCTGATTTTATGGAGCACAGCCTTTGATGAAGAATGTGGAAACTGAACTGTGTTAATGTTTCTGACACCTTACTCTTTACATCACTGCTCACCACGTGCCTGATGACCTGTAACTCACTGCTTCCAGCATCATGTAAGCACAGCTTTACTTATACAGTCATAGAGTGCTGTAGTGCTGATGTATTTTTGTAGGCCAGTCTGGAAGTTATCATCCCTCAACAAAGACCCAATAGGATTTTCCCGTTGACTTTTGATGTTTTAGGCTCATTGCAGAAAATTAGTTGACTAAAAAGGATTTATAATTCTTACATGTTTTGTTCATCGTGATAGTCTTCAAAGACCTCATTTCAGGAATTCTAAAAAAAATTCTAAATTGACCTCAAGACACTGGACGTGCTAAAATGTTAAAGGGGTCATATGATGCGATTTCATGTTTTCCTTTGTCTTTGGAGTGTTACAAGCTGTTCTTGCATATATAAGATCCGTAAAGTCGCAAAGATTAAAGTCTCAAAACCAAAGAGGTATTCTTTCTAAAAGTTAAGACTAATCCATGCCTTCCTAAAATGCCTCATTCAAATACGCCCCCACAAATCTACGTCACTGTGTGGGAAGATTTGCATAACACCGCCCAAATGTATACGCAAAGAAAGAAGGCGTAACTTTTTTTTCTTGCTGTAGTATTGTTGCCACTGCCGCTGCCATGTCGTGGAGATGCTGTGTTTCCAAATATGGCAAGGGGCTTAACATTTCCATCACACGCTTGAGTTGTCCAATCACAATGTACTGGATAGCTGGCCAATCGCTTTTCAGAACAATGAGCTTTGTAAAAAATCGATGCGATTTAGAAAGGTGGGGCAGAGAGGAGCAAAAGTAATGTATGATATGTGGAAAATAATGTTTTTTGTTTTTTTTTTACCTTAAACCACCAAATACACAAAATAATGTTCTTTTTTTGCAATGTCATATGACCCCTTTAACTCGTTGGCCTACAAATACAGCATCCCTAAAGCACTCTATACCTCACTTTTATATTTTCACAAAGCTTTTTAACTTGGAATACAAAATATCTGGCTTGTTGTTTGGCGGTGCTCATGTTTCTCTCACACTCTACGCTTTGCGTTCTTCTCAGACGAAAGAGGAGCAGTCTCAGATTACCAGTCAGGTCACCGGACAGATCGGCTGGAGACGTGAGGGCATCAAATATCGCCGCAACGAACTCTTCCTGGATGTACTGGAAAGTGTGAACTTGCTGATGTCACCGCAGGGTGAGCCTTCCTGCCCTCTACTGGCTGAGAGTTACAGTACTGCATGGTGAATTTTACCTGCATTCATTACTTTGTATTGAAACTTCATGTAGTGGTGTTTTCTGTGCTTCTATGTGTGTGCAGGTCAGGTGTTGAGTGCACATGTCTCAGGGCGTGTGGTGATGAAGAGCTACCTAAGCGGAATGCCAGAGTGCAAGTTCGGCATGAATGACAAGATTGTCATCGATAAGCAGGGGAAAGGTGGCACGACTGATGACTCAGGGAAAAGGTGAGTTGGATGACACTGAAATGGAAATGTGAGAGCCACTGTGGTGAGTAAACCATTGAACATTGTTTATGCTTGTTACTAATTTACTAATTGCCATGTAATGACTCCTCATAAGGCCAAATTAAAGTGTTTTATTTAACTTAACACCTTCACAAATTAAATTTTTTTTAGTGCTGTCAAACGCATCCAAAATAAAAGTATTTGTTTACATATTACATGTATGTGTGCTGTGTATATTTATTATGTATATATAAATACACACACATGCGTCTATATATTTCATAAAAATGTTTATATATTTAATAAATGTATTTATAATTAAATTATATGAATATATATATACATGTAAATATTTTCAAAATATATATACAGTATGTTATATATACATAATAAATATACACAAAGCACACATATATTATGCAAACAAAAACTTTTATTTTGTATGTGATTAATCGTTTGACAGCACAAAATTACATTGATATTTACACATATAAGATGTTACTCTACATTAAAAAAATAATGCAAGTTTCATACCTCAAAGCAAACTCCACAGTTTAAAATGAGTTTTCTGAAACGGCAGGAATTTAAATTACTCCATTTGTGATGTCATGATTTTCCTCTACATGCCCTCTTAACATGCATATGCAAATCAAGGAAGTTTGCTCTTGGCAACTCATATGTCTGTGCATTAATCACTGATTCATTTCAGTCTGACTGTGGTTCGAACATACAGTATATGACTATATTATAGCGCTGGCCATCATGAGCATCAAAATACACGTCACACATGCTGTGCGTGGATACAATGATGTTTGGCAGTCAGAGCAGTAGCTGTTTACATGTTTTTGAAAGAGGTAACTCCACTTGAAATTATGTGTTTGTGACAGTGAAAGATTGTATGGAATATTATAATTTTTTACAAATACTTAAACTTTTTTTTTTTTTAAAGCAAAAACTTTGATAACTGCATAAGCTAACTTCCAGAAACATAATATAAAGATCTGAAAATGCATTTTATGACCCCTTTAAATTTAATTTAGCATCAGCATTTGTTTCACTATCGCACAAACCCCTAGAGGTTCACAAACCCACAGTTGAGAACCTGAATTTAAAAAAAAAATGGAATTGATGAGTTGCATATTTGTGACACAGTTGATCATATTTTTGAATCTCTCCCCTCCTGTCATATAAGAACTTCTCACAATAAAGTCCATTCCTGATGAATTAAAGGGTTAGTTCACCCAAAAATGAAAATTAGCCCATAAATTACTCGCCCTCAAGGCATCCTAGGTGTATATGACTTTCTTCTTTCAGACGAATCCAGTCGGAGTTATATTAAAAATTGGCTTTGATCTTCCAAGTTGTTTAATGGCAGTCAGCGGGTGTTGCAGTGCATCAGTTCAAAAAAAGTGAAATAAAGCGCATCCATCCATAATAAAAAGTGCCTCACACGGCTCCGGGGGTGAACAAAGGCCTCCTGTAGCGAATCGATGCATTTTTGTAAGAAAAATAACCATATTTAAAACGTAGTAATCACTTTAATCTAGCTTGCGCTCACTGTTGTAAACGGAAGCAGCTCCGGGCGGATGATGTATGGAGGTCGGCGTTGCGCATGCGCCGCTCAGAAGTGACGAACGCGGAAGGGAACAAAACAAAACAACGGTCACGAATTAGAAGTACAAAACGAGGATTTGTAACGAAGAATGTTGGAGGATTTCGATATAAGCCAAGAGGAGACTGGTTTTCCTTCGCTAAAGTAAGGAAACTTTGCTTCCTTTGCTCCTGCGCAACGCCGACATCTTACGTCATCCTCCCAGAGCTGCTTCCGTATACAACTGTTGGCGCAAGCTAGATTAAAGTGATTATTACGTTATGAATATGGATATTTTTCTTACAAAAACGCATCGATTCGCTACAGGAGGCCTTTGTTCACCCCCGGAGCCATGTGAGGCACTTTTTTATTATGGATGGATGCGTTTTATTTCACTTCTTTTGGACTGATGAACTGCAACACCTGCTGACTGCCATTTAACAGCTTGGAAGATCAAAGTCAATTTTTCAACTCCGATTGGATTCGTCTGAAAGAAGGAAGTCATATACGCCTAGGATGGCTTGAGGGTGAGTAAGTTTTTGGTTGAACTATCCATTTAAGTCCTGTTGAATGTTCTAATTCACTTAGAAAATCCATCAAAAATCCATCATGTTAAAATAAAATGGCTTATAAATGCCAGATCACAGTGACTTTAAAAACATCCCCTTTTGTATAACATCCCCCTCGGCTCAGAATGTAAGGCCTTATGAGCAGAACAGTTGGACACAGTATTACAGGAAGTCTCACATGGAGCGAATTAATTCCTCCTGGCTTTTTTTTGTGTTCTGTAACATCGCGTCTTGCAGTCTCACTCTCCCCCTGTTGCCTTTTGTGATAGTATGTATATGTATCTTTACAGAGGAATATTTGATTCTGAGGTGCCGTTGGTTTAGCCCTTTATTGTTTCCATTTTTTCTGTTGATTTGTGTACCTCTCTCCTCTCTCCCGCTGGACTTCAGTGAGTTGGGGGGCAGGTAGCGTAACTCTCACTCCTGACGTCACCTGATCTATCACCTTCACTCCGTCCTGTCTTAGCCGTTTGTCAGCTGTCTTCGTGTCATGCCATCAAACGTCTCAATAAAGATGATCTTTTTGCATGGGATGGCACTGCCATTGAGGTGTTTAGCAGCTCTAGGTAAAGGATCGTAGCGTTTTCTTCAGTTAATCTTTACAGAGGAATATTTGATTCTGAGGTGCCGTTGGTTTAGCCCTTTATTGTTTCCATTTTTTCTGTTGATTTGTGTACCTCTCTCCTCTCTCCCGCTGGACTTCAGTGAGTTGGGGGGCAGGTAGCGTAACTCTCACTCCTGACGTCACCTGATCTATCACCTTCACTCCGTCCTGTCTTAGCCGTTTGTCAGCTGTCTTCGTGTCATGCCATCAAACGTCTCAATAAAGATGATCTTTTTGCATGGGATGACACTGCCATTGAGGTGTTTAGCAGCTCTAGGTAAAGGATCGTAGCGTTTTCTTCAGTTCATTTGTCTCATCTCATACAAACAGTCTTTCCTCTGTCTTGTTTTACTCAAAAGCCTCTTACCTGAATGAACTGATAGCCATTCTCATTAGAGTCTGTGTTAAAGTTATCTTGTTGTGACCCCCTCAAACGCCTGCCCCCCTCGCCTCTGACCACAACATAATGCTATTCATTTTAATCTAGTATCAGCAAATCACAACCCTCTTACAGACCTTCCCGTGCAGTTTTGTTGTGGTCACAGTGCTAGAAACTAACATCCTTCCCAACATAATGACAGTATAGCAGACATGCTATTGTGCGAGGTAGGCGGTATGACCACAATCTTGCATAATATAATAATTGTATTTATTGCAATATGCTCTACCATTCTAAAGTTTGTAGTCAGTATGATTTTAAAATAAATTAATATTTTTATTTAGCAAGGATGCATTAATTTGATCAAAAAGTGGCAATAAAGGCATTTATAATGTTATAAGATTTCTGTTTAAAATAAATGACGTTCTTTTGAACTTTATATTCATCAAATTAATCTTCAAAAATGTATCACAGCCCGTTTTCAATATTGATCATAAGAAAAGTTTCTTACGCAGCAAAACAACATATTAACATGATTTCTGAAGGATAATGTGACACTGAAGACTAAAGTAATGATGCTGAAAATTCAGTTTTGCATCACAGGATTAAATTACATTTTATAATGTAATAATATTTCACAATATTACTGCATTTTTGGTCAAATAAATACAGCCTTGGTGAACACAAGAGACTTCTTGCAAAACAGTTAAAAAATTGCCGACAAAACTTTTAAACAGAAGTGCTGTTATTGTTGATGGAAATTAAATAAAAATGGTTTAGATATAAATGAGATGTTTTGGATAATTGACTGAATGAAAGTTACATAATCTCATTTATTTTCTCCTTATTTGGAACTTGGACATCTAGTCCAAAATAATTTTGTAACAAATGAATATGTCACGTATTATTATGCAACACAAGTAGAAATTTCACTAAATTGTAATTGAATAAGCAACATTCACAGCTGTTGTAAAATAGCTATTAAAGTTCACATATCAGTTAAAATCTTAATGCGTCAAGTTGCGAGGTTGCTTGACATTTGTAAACAATGTAAAGCCTGCGTTGTTGTGCCTAACAACACGTCTTTCCTTTCCTTGTTCAGGACACATCAAGCTTTGTATTTTCGCATCAATTCATCTTTCTTCATCACTCTCATGTGTAAATGCATAAAAAGCCCTTCCCACCGATCTATCAATCTAAATACGTCCTGCGTTATATATCACAATCTTTACCAGTTGACTATTTTCTGCCGTCACACAGTATATACCGTCATGCCGCCCACCTCTGATGAGTAATGTGTGTTTGGTCTCTCTGCAGTCTCTGCTCATGCTTCATTGTTTCCTCATCGTTTCTCTCCTCTGTGTCCCCTGCTGCAGTGGGAAACAGCCAAATACTCCACCCATCAATGCAAATACCTCATCCATCCATCCAAATACGTTATACATCCATCCATTCATCCACCCATCCAAATACTCCACCCATCAATGCAAATACCTCATCCATCCATCCAAATACGTTATACATCCATCCATTCATCCACCCATCCAAATACTCCACCCATCAATATAAAATACGTCTGTCCGTCCAAATACTCACTTGAACATTTAAATATCAGGATGTTTTTGTGTTTTTGGGGACAATTTTACAATTATTACAATTATACAATTACAAGTATATTTAAATATACTGTAAATTCCAAGGATTGGAACTTAACATACAAATAAAAATCTTTCTCAGAATTCTCTATAAAGTTGAGATGAAACGGAAGTAGTATTTTTTTTCAATATTGTGCTGTTTGTCATTTTTTTGTAGGATCAAGCGAATGGCTGGTATGAAGGAATCTCAGATCAGTGCCGAGATTGAGCTGCTACCCACTAATGACAAAAAGAAGTGGGCTCGCCCACCCATCTCCATGAACTTTGAGGTCAGCCTGAATCCCTGAAGCCCCCCAACCTCTTTCACACATGTAGACATTGGCTTCTTCTTTAGGATGTTCTGCAGTTGTTGTTTTTTTCAGCATGGTCTCTAAAACTGGACGGATATTTTTTATGTTCTTTTAAAGTGGCATGCCATTTATGCTGATACAGTAGTATACCAGGTTGTTTTGAGATTTTCTCAGATGCTTGGTTTTCTAATGCAATCTCTGTTTAATGAAGCTAAGGGTCATTTTTCTTTTGTTTTTCAGGTACCATTTGCTCCGTCAGGACTGAAAGTGCGCTACCTGAAGGTCTTCGAGCCAAAGCTCAATTACAGCGATCACGATGTCATCAAATGGGTGCGTTACATCGGCCGCAGCGGCATCTATGAGACCCGCTGCTAACAGCAGCCCTTCTGCGAGGAGGGGGGAGGAGAGGCAGACGAATAAATGGGCGGGATGAACAGAGGACGAAGAGAATGGAGTTATTCATTGTCTCGCTCTCCCCTCCCTTCCTCAACTTTTTATACAGGGCTCTGTTCACACCGAAAACATCAACAAAGGGAAACCCAAAAAGAACATCCAAAACATCATGAATTCAAACAAGTGTGCCCTTCAGAATAAAACACATAGTTTATCTGCAATGATGAGAATTATGTTTATCCTCATGAACTCCCTCCAGAATTTCACTTGCTATGAGATGATGAGATGTAAACCCCCACTCGTTTCTCCTTTCTAATTCTTCCACAACATGCATTCCAGACCCCCAGTCCCCATTGAATCCCAGCTAATTTGAGGCTCGGGCCCCTTTTCAAGCCGGTGATTAGCGCTGAACCTGTGTTCCTGCTCACAGGCGGTATCAGTGTGGCCATTTCTGGCTCCTAAATCCCTATCTGCTAACCTGGACCCTGAAAACATACCCCTTCATGCTTCGTTTTTGTAGTGGTCCCTCCTAAGAGTATTAGTTAAGTATCGTCCACATTCTTGTTCTCAGTGAATTAGTGTAAACGTTAAGCCAGTGGCCCCACAATGTTCTTGAGCGTAACTTTTCAATGTCCATCCAAAGTTTTATGTACGCTGATGTTACAATTTGGAATTTGTCTTAATTTTTTTGTTGTCTCAGTATAAAATAATTTCTCAATGTGACCAAAATGAGGTGCGAGGACGTTTGAATTAAAGCAACAAATTGTACTAATGCTTAAGTCCAGCTGTCTGTGTGCGTATATGCTACTATAAACACTAACAAAACCATCACACCGATTTAGGCGAGTTTCAGCTTTCATTTGGTGTCATATAGTGACTGGTGCGCATTTGTGTGTGAGTCAGGGGTCCCCAACATCTCTCAGGGACTTTACATTTGTGCGCTTAACCTTCTTTCCGTGTCACACTTAACTTTCATCATCCTTCACCACTTTGTTTACATGACTGAAGTTTACCGGTTGAGTTTGTCGAGTGCACTGAGTCAGCCTTTGCATCAGCGAAATCTCTCCCTGCATTTCAGCACTTCTCCTGGGATTAGTTTGAAGGCAAATGCAACTTCATAAAGACGCATTTCACTAAACGCATAAGAGGGGCTAGGATATTAGGGAGTCCCATTTCTAAACCTCTTTCCTTAGTCCCGATCTAAGGCAGGAGATTTTGGAGATGTCAAAACATATAAGCCATGTCTGCCTTTAAGGTCTTGAACACCGTGCTTGCTCCTTTCATGTGCATATAAACTCTCCACTCTGCGGAAGGCGCTGGAGGATTTATCTTAATGCGAAGGCATTTTGGTTGAACAGCACAGAGACGGAAGCACAGTTTAGTGATGAGCTCACTGTCTACTACGCTCGTGCTATCTACGTTACGTTTCAGTCAACACTACAAACTCGACCCTGCAGATTTAAGTGTGCATCTTCTTGAACACTTGTTTCATAACACTTACACCGTCTGACCTCAGTGTGTTTCAGCTCTGAGAGATGATGAGGCAACTTTTGCAGTGTATCGTCTTCATTTGGTAACTTTGTGACTGTTGTCTTAATCCTAATAAAATGTGTAATCAGTTACTCTTAATGGAGTTGGTGTTTTTGTTTCATATTATATAAATATTGTATGCCATTTTAAAGTTTGTATCTTTAAGGATCTAAATCTATCGGATAACTGACAAATTAGGGAAAATCTAACCATTCCAAACAAGCGTTTGGAAGTTTTATCTGGACTCTTCGTTTACTATGAGCAGAGCTCTTTTTAAATTTAATGTGGAATTTTTTCTGGTTTGGTTTATATTGGCTGCAGTGTACTGTAATCCTCTAGATGGAAGCATTTAATCACACTGGCCAAAATACTGGATACACGAACACAAGAATGTGTAGAACCTAGTGAACTATGGGTGTTCATCTGTGGAGAAAAAAGAAATGACGTGGATACTACTCCAAACCCTCTACATGAGTGAGACTTCTATCTGAAAAGCCTTTTTGCTTCATTGTTCAATGGCTTTGTTTAGCACAAAAAGTAAGGGAGCTTCAGTCAAACATATCAAGAGCTCTGCATAACACCAATGGGTGGCGCAGAACAAACTATTACTTCAAAATGAACCATGTGAAGCTGTAAAGTTTGTCGTGGGCAAAGTTACTTTTTAAAGTAATGCGTTACACTATTGCGTTACTCCCTAAAAAAGTAACTGCATTACTTGTTTACTTTTTATGAAAAGTAATGTGTTCCATTACTTTTCTGTTCCTTTTTCTCATCTAGGCTGGGCTTGCTTGCTTTGTTTGTTTTTAATAATAAAAAAAGTAATAGTTTTTTTTTGTTATGTAAAAGCCTTTTCACACCAAATGTGAAACAAATAAGCCTCAGGCTGAAGGAAATGTAAATTCATGGCTGTAGAGGGCCAGCTCAAACCTTTCAACATGATGGAGAAAAAAGTTCAACACTTCAGTATAAGAATTGGATCATCCAAGGTCAGCAGCAAAGACGGTTAATAAAATGGGATTAAATACATTTTAAAATCTGGAATCTGAGGGTGCAAAAAAAAATCTAAATATTGAGAAAATCACCTTAAAGTTGTCTAAATGAAGTTCTTAGCAATGCATATTACTAATCAAACATTAAGTTTTGATATGGTAGTATCCTAATGATTTTTGGCATGAAGGTATATTCGTAGCAATAGCCAACGATACATTGTACAATGTATTGTTGGCTATTGCTACAAATGTACCTGTGTGACTTAAGACTGCTTTTGTGCTCCAGGGTCACATATGTGTGGAGTTTCATACGAGACAGAGTCTTTCATTAACTCTACTGATTTAGTTTATTGTTTGCTCCTCTAAAAGTTAATAAATCTGATACCACTTCTGTTTTGCTTTTTTAATGTAATGTTTGGATGCTTAATTGCATGTTAATTGCAATTAAATGAGAGTAGCTATTTATAGTTTACATTTAGGCTATGTTAAGTGCAATTAGTTGAATTAGTATGTTGTTTTACCCATTTAAATAGGACTTAGGGACATCTTATGTCATTTCATAATTACTTAGATTGTCTTTGAAATATGGTTAAATCATTTTTTCATTAACTCTACTGATTTAGTTTATTGTTTGCTCCTCTAAAAGTTAACAAATCTGATACCACTTCTGTTTTGCTTTTTTTGTGATGTAGCCTAATGCAAATAAAAATAGATTTCTTTTTTAAACGAGTACTTAAAGGGGTCCTATTACGCTCTTTTACAAAGTCTTGATTTTGTTTTGGGGGTGTACTAGAACAGGCTCTCATACTAGGTTGTTCGAAAAACACATTATTTTTCACATATTTTACATTATTACAACACCTCTCTCCCCAGTCTGGCATGAACGGCTCGAATAGTTCCTGTATCAAATGAAGGCCCGCCTTCTGAAATACGAAATGTGCTGTGATTGGTTAGCTGGGCCAGTGTGTGCTGTGATCGGTTAGCTGGGCCAGTGTGTGCTGTGATCGGTTAGCTGGGCCAGTGTGTGCTGTGATCGGTTAGCTGGGCCAGTGTGTGCTGTGATCGGTTAGCTGGGCCAGTGTGTGCTGTGATCGGTTAGCTGGGCCAGTGTGTGCTGTGATCGGTTAGCTGGGCCAGTGTGTGCTGTGATCGGTTAGCTGGGCCAGTGTGTGCTGTGATCGGTTAGCTGGGCCAGTGTGTTGTGATTGGTTAGCTGGACCAGTGTGTGTTGTGATTGGCAGCATTTGTCGCCTGGTCGGGAAATGTCACCATAGCCGCCTGCGAGCGTCAGTGTAAATACTGCGTCAAAATCAAATAAATTTGAGCACGATTTAAACCCGGATGATTATAACCACTCTAAGTTCGTCTGCCTTGGGAAAACTAGCACGTCTTCAATATAGGGATAACACTCGTTGCCTTCTCTAGTGCAGCTCAACCAGGTCTCGTCCCATTCGTCGAGCTTTGTGATATCACAAATCCCGGAAAATATGCGTTGTAGTCCAAACGAGTCGTTCGTTGTAGTTTTTGAAAAGTGATTTCTGTTAAATAAAATATCTCCTTTTGAAGTGGACTTTGAGTTCTGTAACTTTGCAGATCTTTTTTATGCTCAATCAGCAACATTACAGACTAACTAAAGTTGAAAAAGTGAAAAAGCATAATAGCACCCCTTTAAATTTATTTTAAAAGGTACTTTAAAAGGATAAAAGTGTGAACTTAATGTAATGTTTGGATGCTTAATTGCATGTTAATTGCAATTAAGTGAGAGTAGCTATTTATAGTTTACATTTAGGCTATGTTAAGTGCAATTAGTTGACTTAGTATGTTGTTTTACCCATTTAAATAGGACTTAGGGACATCTTATGTCATTTCATAATTACTTAGATTGTCTTTGAAATATGGTTAAAATGTACTGCTTAATGTACTGACAAACATTTATGGTAAACTAAATACTAAACTACATTAATGTAATTACACATTAGTTTAAGAAACAGTCATGAAAGTGGCCTTTTATCTCATTATTCAGTACAGTTTATTGAAAGTACTTGTAAGATTTGAGCACATTTAGGACAATTAAGTGCACTTGTTTTTCACTAGGAATAAGCTTGACTATTTGAGTGAAAAGTAAAAAGAAAAATGATGAATTTCAGAATGTCTTAGCATTTGTACTTTCCCTCTTTTGCTTTAATGGCAGCAGGATTGGAGCTGCATAAACTCCACAGTTTTGTATAAAACTGTAAATGATAATCGTGTTCTCCAGCATGGTTTGAAATGATCCAAAGTGGAATCTAGTATATCAGATTTCACATGCCCAGTGTTACAATTCTGCTTATTTGATGTGTGAAACATTTCTTATTAATTTTACATCATAATGTTTCAGAATCCTAAACCTTGTTGATTTCCACTGTATATGTACTATCTCGACATAGTTCAACTATGATATATGATACTTCATAGATATCATGGTTGCTCAGCACACGGAGATCTAGCTTCCTGCATTGTTTAGAACTCAAACACACCTAGGGTTGCAAAGGGGTGGAACATTTCCGGAAACTTTCCAAAAATCCCTGGAATATTCCAAAAATTCCTGGAATGTTTCCGAAATTTACTGGAAATTTTCCACCTTTTTGCAACCCTAAACACACCTGAACTGTGTAATCAAGGTCTTTGCAATCATTTGAGCAGGTTAGGTCTCCTGAACTGATCATATTAACAGTACTTTAGTGGATCAGAATCATCATTTGTGTTGCACTTTGGACTTGGTGGTTTGCTATATGATGATATTACATTCAACATCACAATATCTGCCACTCTTTCAGCATACCTTCTTCTGTCTTCCTCTTAGGTGGCTAGTATTCATTTGAATAAACCGTGTGTGCAGACGGCAGCACCTGTGGAAGCGAGATCTCATAGAGGTCAGGCCCGATCCAAGCGCTATGCCATCAACCCATTGGGATACAAGTGGGAGCATTTCAACGTCACCTACAAGTGAGAGAGACACAGGATATATAAAAATACGACCGGACAGATGCATGAGATGATGCGGGATATTTTGGGAAGAGCAGACTGATTTCGGGAGTGTTGGGCTTTTGTAAATGTGCTTTCTGATTGATAGCAGACACAGAGAAAAGCGTGTCATTCATTTTTGGCTGGAAGTAATTTACATCTTTCCCTCTTCAAGGATCACAAAGTTCCCCAACACACTGAATAAAGATGATACCCGCAAAGCTATCAGCATCGCCTTCACGAAATGGAGTGATGTTTCTCCTCTGACTTTCACTGAGATCACCAACCCCAACAAAAGTGCTGACATCACTATAGGTAAATAAATGTGCGGGAAAAGAGCCAAAACATCAGGCATGTGCACTTTGGCGGGCTGACAGAGTACTCTATGCAGTTTTTTAACACCTCCTTTTTCTGAGTCAGGCTTCTACACGTACAATCACACAGATTGTTGGTGGTCTCCATTGCACCCGTGTTTTGACGGGCTGAACGGTGAGCTGGCCCACGCCTTCCTTCCCCCACGTGGAGAGATTCACTTTGACAACCATGAATTCTGGATTCTGGGCAAATCCCGCTTCAGCTGGAAACAAGGTACTGATTTAATGCATTTTTATTCAAATGGGGGGATGTGCTTGTCAGAATACAAATATAACTTATCTGCTCATTGATTCCAATATTGAAAACTTAGATTTTTTACAGACTGGTGGTGCTTTAACCAAATTGAAGTGGCATTGTCTGCATTGTGGGAATGATAAAATAAGTTGTTGTTGCTGTTTAACTAATTTCCAATTACTCACTTTTGGCACCTAAGTTTGAATTCTGTTGGAAAATTCTGTTTCAGACAAAATTCGAGATTGCGGAAAATCAATTTCTAGTAATTTCTAATGTAAATGTAGTGTCTAGATAATTTGTTTTGCTTCAAAATGTATTTGCTAAAACTTTACATTAAATTTGAACTGATGGTGGCGCTAGAGTAAAGTGTTGTACACTGTATAGAGATGAATAGATGTATTGTGTAACATGTGAAGTGTTTCACTTTAATACAGGAAATACATCATGTAAGTGTGATAGGTGATCAAGTGCAAAGACCGCAAATGTAAGTATTGGGACAGACCCACTGATGTCATTTTTTAAGTGCGTTCTCTTTAGTAACAAGAAGCTTTTTTGCCACTAGTGCTTCGCAAAATGAATCACTGTCTCTAAGTGCTCAAAATGCCACAGGCTGGTCAAAACATTGCAAATGCCATGACAACTCAGCCCAAAAATGTATAATGACACTTTTACCAGCTAATTGCAGATGTTCTAACTGAAGTATAATCTTTTAAATGTAATCTACAAATAAATGAAACCATTAAATATGAAGGTTCTGTAAAATTTGTGTTCTTGCAATAATGTAGTACTTGTTTTGTGTGGGCTTGGCAAGTCAATTAAAAGAAATTAAGGTCACACTTTATATTAAGGTCCAGTTCTCTCTGTTAACTAACTATTAACTATGACTTTTGCCTCAATAAACACCTAATTTTTTTAGGTGTTGGGCTGTCTGGGATGGTACTCAAATGGTTCAGGTCATACTTAGAAGGGAGAGGTTATTATGTGAGTATAGGAGAGCATAAGTCTAAGTGGATGTCCATGACATGCGGAGTACCACAAGGCTCAATTCTTGCTCCGCTCTTGTTTAGCCTGTATATGCTCCTACTACAGCAAATGATGAGAAAGGCAATTTGGTTCTATCACAGCTATGCTGATGATACCCAGATTTACCTAGCCTTATCTTTAAATGACTACAGCCCCATTGACTCCCTCTGCCAATGCATTGATGAAATTAACAGTTCGATGTGCCAAAACGTTCAGTTGAACAAGGAGAAAACTGAAGTCATTGCATTTGGAAACAAAGATGAAGTTCTCAAGGTGAATGCATACCTTGACTCTAGGGGTCTAACAACTAAAAATCAAGTCAGGAATCTTGGTGTGATTCTGGAGACAGACCTTAGTTTCAGTAGTCATGTCAAAGCTGTAACTAAATCAGCATACTATCATCTCAAAAACATTGCAAGAATTAGAGGTTTTGTTTCCAGTCAAGACTTGGAGAAACTTGTTCATGCCTTTATCACCAGCAGGGTGGACTATTGTAATGGTCTCCTCACCGGCCTTCCCAAGAAGACCATTAGACAGCTGCAGCTCAGCCAGAACGCTGCTGCCAGAATTCTGACTAGAACCAGAAAATCTGAGCATATCACACCAGTCCTCAGGTCCTTACACTGGCTTCCAGTTATATTTAGGATTGATTTTAAAGTACTTTTACTCGTTTATAAATCACTCAATGGCCTAGGACCTAAATATATAGCAGATATGCTCACTGAATATAAACCTAACAGACCACTCAGATCATTAGGATCGAGTCAGTTAGAAATACCAAGGGTTCACACAAAACAAGGGGAATGTGCTTTTAGTTATTATGCCACCCGCAGTTGGAATCAGCTTCCAGAAGAGATCAGATGTGCTAAAACATTAGTCACATTTAAATGCAGACTCAAAACTCATCTGTTTAGCTGTGCATTTATTGAATGAGCACTGGACGATGTCCGAACTGATTGCACTGTATTTTATATATAATTATGTATCATTATCTTTTTTGAAGTACATAAGTATAAGTACAAAAATTCAATAAAATAATTAAAAATAAACCTACATTATAAAACTGACCTGAGATCAGTTAAAAAAAAAAAAAAATTATGCACATCCAAAACCTGAATTGGGCTCAGGTGCAGGAGAACAAAACAACAATAAATGGAAAAAGAAATTACACTGCACACTGAAATTACACCTCCAGAGTTTATTAACATTGTGCCTGATGAAGACTTGACTACTTTGTAAATCATAACATCGGTATTTTTCCATTAGAAAACCATTAGAGACACGTTCATGTTCACACACACAGGATTGTTCACACATTTTGGAAGTAAGGTTTGAAACACTATGATATAATGAAGCTTTATTTACTGAAATCATGTGACTTGGGGAGTTTGATACAAGCTCTGAACCACTGATTTGAAACAAAAGATTCATAAATGTTCATGAAGCAGTGTTTTAAAGTGTTCATTACTAGTTTACTTTAAACTCAGAAATCACATTCTTCTTTGATTGGATGGCGTGTTGTCTCTGCACAGGTGTTTGGCTGAATGACCTGATCCAGGTAGCTGCTCATGAAATCGGTCACGCTTTAGGCCTCTGGCATTCACGGGACCCTAATGCATTAATGCACCCTAATGCAACGTACACGGGTCAGAGGAACATCGCTCAAGATGATATCTGGGGCATCCAGCGCCTTTACGGTAAGCAAAATGTGTAAAGTCACATCAAAAATTGGAACTTTTCTTCCATATTGTGACACATAAACTGTAGGGCAGGACTTAGTTCTATGAGTCAGTTGTTAATTGGATGGTGAGGTGTGGGGGCGTGGCATTTAAAAGTGGAGGCGGCGTTTCAGTGACCAAAATGATTGGAGAAGGCTTGCAGAAGTCTGTCGTCTTCATCCGAAGATCCAGTTATTACATTTTTATTAAACATTATGAGGTCAAAAATGAAACATGCATGGATGAATTAACAGTAAGCTCTATAACATGCATTTATAAAGTAGATAGGTTGAATTTTTATTCTATGAACTAAAAATAAAGTGATTTTGAACATGTTCTCATCTCTCCAGAGTTTTAAAGCTTATGCTTGTTTCTATCCTCTGTGTGTGCGTTTGCTTCAGGATGCATGGACAAGAAGCGAGTGTGTGATCCTTGGGCCCGCTTGGGTTTCTGTGAGAGGAGGCGGAGCTTCATGAAGAAAAACTGCCCGCAGCGCTGCGACCTGTGCTACGGTGAGACACTGAAAACATCCTCCTCCAACATCTCCTGCAGCGCTGGCTTCCCGTCCAAAAGCCTTTCACTTCCACACAGTATTCTTCATGGTGCATGTAGACGGACATCGTCCATCACTTTAAATAGTATAGCAGTGATATTATAGACTCACACACTTGTACAACTGACTCTTTAACGTGCGTGTTTGCTCCTCAGAGCCTCTGGATGCAGTGTCTACACCGACACCTCCTCCTGAAAATGTGAAGATCAAAATTGTGCCTCGTGGAAAAGTTGTGGGCTTCCGCTGTGGGACAAAAAATACCAGAGTGCCTCCAAAAGTCAGGTAGAGCATCCTGTTGTAAAATCTTTAATGATTTTTATGAAGCAAACATAAGAATAATTGTTGTATTACTAGTAATATTTCAAGATGAACAATTACTAGACTGAAGTAACTTTGATTTACTTGTTTATCCATCATTCATCATGCTAAAATGTGAGTATCAAATATGATCATCAGGCCTTTGAGGAACGTTTATTTGTTGATCTCTCAATCATTATTGTATTGCATCACATTATATGTTTTGCCCACAATAAAACTACAGAGCTTTGATCATAAAACTAAGCATTTACAGCCGCTAAAATAAGTATTGAAGACGTCACCATTTTTCTCAGTAAATATGTTTCTAAAGGTGCTGTTGACTTGAAATTTTCACCAGATGTTATGTGTAATAAAGTGGAATGTCAGGGAAAAAGTATTGAACTACTGAAATGTATTTAATACTTTGTACAAAATCCTTTGTTGGTAATGACAGCTTCAAGACGCCTCCTGTATGGAGAAACTAGTCCAGTCTATTAGTATGTCTGCTAAATATATGCTAACACTTTATTTTGGTGGTTCCCCAACAGACAAACTGACTATAAGTAACTTTGCAAGTACGTCAACATTCTACCAACCCTAACCTTAACCTAAGGATTTGAAATGCACTTCGCAAAGAAAAACCTTTGCCTCCACGTCGTGCGTTTAAAATCCTTTAATGCACGGCTAGCCATTGATTATCCCTTACTTATAAGATTATATAACATAATAAGGTTTTTTATAATGCATTATTACACGGCTCTGTGGAATACTCGATTCTGATTGGTCAGTCGCGACATTCCGAGGTATGCTATCCCTCGATAACAACCGGTAAAAGCTAATAACACAGGCTCATCCGGGTAACAGCAGTCGGCGCTGTACTCTTGCTTGAACTATTTGTTGTTGGTGGAAGCTTTGCGTTTGTTTAGCTTAGCCTAACCCTAACCCTAACCCTAATGATTTTCTAATGATCCTGAAGACATTGATTAGCATGCTCAGGTGTGTTCGATTAGGGTTAGAGCTAAACTCTGCAGGAAAGTGGATCTCGTGGACCAGATTTGAGGATCCCTGGTCTATGGTGTGAACGGCCCTTAAAAACACTCAAATCAAGGCTACTGAAAAACTGGGGACTTCACATGCACCACTGAGTATGAAACTGTACCTTTGCAAACAAAATTGTGAAGATTTATTTTTTTTAACCTTCAGAGATTTTTGAAGCATCTTTGAAACGGAATATTATGCCTCAGAAGTGGCGTTTACCTTATAATAAAAAAGCACCTTTGTCATCACTGCGGCAGAAGTACAAAAGAAAATCGAATTGGTGGTCCTTCCAAATATTGTCTTGGATCTCAGAGTTATGAAGGTTGCAAACCCCCACTTGTGCAGGTCGTCCATTATGACTGAGTGGCAAGCAGAGCTGTGCGCGCTGCAGCGGAGGAGAGCCGGTCTGAGTGCTCTGGAGGCCTGGAGGTAGAGCATGTGATCAGTACACCAGCATCGCTCCATCAGCTGTTGTTGGATGACTGTTCTGGCTTCAGCCGGATGGCCCACGAGTTGGCAGAGACGACGTTACCGCGCCGATGGATGCGGCAGGTGTACGTGCCTTCATTAAATTCATTGGCCACGAGCCGCAGGTCCCGATCTTTAATTACAATATAACCAGGAATGGATGTCAGCAGCTGCTCGCCGTCCTTATACCAGCTGATGAAAGATGAAACAAAGCAGCTGAGATACACTGGACAGAAACGAAGGGTAACATTTTCTATGAAGCGCATATTTATAATACATTATAAGGGTATTCTTAAGGCATGATAATGAATGCATAAGTAAGGGATAATGTACATCCAGCCGGTTGTTATCTCAGAATAAACCCCTTAAGGCTGATACAAGATCACCCAGTCGGGGTTTATTCTGAGATAACAACCGGCTGGATGTACATTATCCCTTACTTATGCATTCATTATCATGCCTTAAGAATACCCTTATAATGTATTATAAATATGCGCTTCATAGAAAATGTTACCCTTCGTTTCTGTCCAGTGTATCTCAGCTGCTTTGTTTCATCTTTCATCAGCTGGTATAAGGACGGCGAGCAGCTGCTGACATCCATTCCTGGTTATATTGTAATTAAAGATCGGGACCTGCGGCTCGTGGCCAATGAATTCAACGAAGGCACGTACACCTGCCGCATCCATCGGCGCGGTAACGTCGTCTCTGCCAACTCGTGGGCCATCCGGCTGAAGCCAGAACAGTCGTCCAACAACAGCTGATGGAGCGATGCTGGTGTACTGATCACATGCTCTACCTCCAGGCCTCCAGAGCACTCAGACCGGCTCTCCTCCGCTGCAGCGCGCACAGCTCTGCTTGCCACTCAGTCATAATGGACGACCTGCACAAGTGGGGGTTTGCAACCTTCATAACTCTGAGATCCAAGACAATATTTGGAAGGACCACCAATTCGATTTTCTTTTGTACTTCTGCCGCAGTGATGACAAAGGTGCTTTTTTATTATAAGGTAAACGCCACTTCTGAGGCATAATATTCCGTTTCAAAGATGCTTCAAAAATCTCTGAAGGTTAAAAAAAATAAATCTTCACAATTTTGTTTGCAAAGGTACAGTTTCATACTCAGTGGTGCATGTGAAGTCCCCAGTTTTTCAGTAGCCTTGATTTGAGTGTTTTTAAGGGCCGTTCACACCATAGACCAGGGATCCTCAAATCTGGTCCACGAGATCCACTTTCCTGCAGAGTTTAGCTCTAACCCTAATCGAACACACCTGAGCATGCTAATCAATGTCTTCAGGATCATTAGAAAATCACAGGTAGCTGAGTTTGATCAGGGTTAGAGCTAAACTCTGCAGCGCACTGGCCCTCCAGGGCAAGATTTGAGGAACTCTGCCATAGACTATAACAATAACTATAAAGTGTTAATAATCATTCTAATTCTTTAGAGAAGTCCACACCACAACTATAACAATAACAACTGAAGTAAAAAAGTTTTAGCGCTTTAAAAAAAATACAGATTGTTTTAAAGCAGCTTTACAGAAAAATTGTGATGTTAATGTTTATGACATCTTATATTCAGGCCTTATAGTTGCATTTAGCAGATTACAGCTACAGGCGATAATGACATTTTACAAAGAAATAAGAATATCAAGCACTTGAGATTTGCTACATAGTACGTATGTGGATGAAGTTGGATATGACAATTTATACACAGGAACAATATCACTGGAATAATTTTCATAACAGAATTTTTTTTACAGCCGATGAATGATAAAAACATTGACAGCCATTCAGAATCCAACCACTCACAGCTTAAAGGGATAGTTCACCCAAAAATGTAAATGTGATGTTTATCTGCTTACCCCCAGGGCATCCAAGATGTAGGTGACTTTGTTTCTTCAGTAGAACACAAACGAAGATTTTTAACTCCAGCCGTTGCAGTCTGTCAGTCATATAATGGAAGTGAATGGAAATCACAGCTTTGAGAGTAAAAAAAACATACACAAACAAAACCAAATTAAACCCTGCGGCTCGTGACGATACATTGATGTGTAAAGACACAAAACGATCGGTCTGTGCAAGAAACTGAACAGTATTTATATCATTTTTACCTCTTATACACCGCAATGTCCAACATCCGGCGCGTGATGCGTGTACGTGCTCTGGCATAGTAGACATAGATATAAATACGTAGATGCCTCATTAGTGACTGTTTCTATGGGCCGCGGTTTCTACTACTGTTTCTACTTATATATATATCTATGTCTACTATGCCAGAGCACGTACACGCATCACGCGCCGGATGTTGGACATTGCGGTGTATAAGAGGTAAAAATGATATAAATACTGTTCAGTTTCTTGCACAGACCGATCGTTTTGTGTCTTTACACATCAATGTATCGTCACGAGCCGCAGGGTTTAATTTGGTTTTGTTTGTGTATGTTTTTTTTACTCTCAAAGCTGTGATTCCCATTCACTTCCATTATATGACTGACAGACTGCAACGGTTTGAGTTAAAAATCTTTGTTTGTGTTCTACTGAAGAAACAAAGTCACCTACATCTTGGATGCCCTGGGGGTAAGCAGATAAACATCACATTTTCATTTTTGGGTGAACTATCCCTTTAAGCACTTAGTGGCAGACGCGCTATAAACAGAACGTTAGAACCTGTCGTTGTGGACACCAATATAGATATCGCTTTTGGTGTGAATGGGCCTTTAGCTTGTTAACTGTAAAATTAGTTTAACTGACTTTAAACAAAATTAAGTTGGTTTTTGTGGCCCTTACTGAAGTTTACTGAAGGTCTCAAATGGCCTCAAGTCCCCAAGTTGAGAACCACTTAGAGGCAGGTGTGGATCTGTGACTCTCAGATATGAGCTTATAAAAAAAATGTATTCATTCTAGAAAAATTCATTCAAGAAGAACTAGTAATAGAATTTTGAAGGCGAAAATGTAACCTGAAATATCAAACATCTGTATCTGATGTTACGCCCATTTAACTATTCAGAAGTGCTAGGTTAATGTTAGTTTTTTTTTTTATTATAAAAATCATACGTTATTGGACATTAAAGGTGCTGCATTATATTGTGTTTTTTGATCCCCATGAATAAGTAACAAGCCACAAGACAATACAGGAAAATGTGTTTTTCTTTCTAGATTAGTTAGTTTAGTGATTCACTGGCATTATTCACAGTCCTTTTGATTGACAAAGATGATCTAAAACAAATCAAATCTTAATGTTTCTGATCACAAGAATGCCAAAGTGGTCTTTTGGTCTGCTGGCAAACACATAATCCTACAGTCATCTCCTCCGGTCCTGTGTACACATGTAAACAAACAGGTCCTGGTACTCTTTCGTGTTAACACTGTCCCTCAGTGAGCTTGGGTAATGTAAACATTCAGCAAGCAAAGCCTTTCCAAAAAGACTGGGACCCATGCCACAGACTAGCACAGGGTTTAAATAGAGGTGCCAGACACAGTCACTGCCAGGCCCTGAAATTATTACTTCACATCAGAGTCTGAGAGAGAGTGCATATGAGGAAAAACACCTAATGAACTTTAGCAGAAAAATAAAAAGGTCAGAAAGACACATGCATATTCAAAAAGAATGACTGAAAGTAAAAACAGACTTTCAATACGGTAACCAACGTAAAATGAGAAGAAACATTCCAGAACTATACAAAGACGACCGATCCTGAAGTTTTCTGTCCTGGGATCCCGCCCTCATCCTGGAATTAGTCTCAAATTTGGCCCCTGTTCAAGTATGAAAAGATCTGGACAATGAAGGCAGGTGAGGGTGAGTTTTATGGACAACCGAGAATGAGATCACGTGCAAGCAGATGCTCTGTTGCGATACAAAAAAATAAGAGGCGCTAAAAATGCATAATTATGCAAGTTCCAGGCTGAATACGATCCAAGGAATAGGCCAACAATATGAGCCTTTTGGTTTAGCGAGACGAGAGGAAGACGTGGGATCAAAACCTTTAGAAAGTACGGGTGGAATAATTTGGTCACTATTGTGCATTTCAATACATTTTTCGTATACAAATAAATCTTGAGCTAGTCCATCCTTCATTTATTTCCTTGGCTACTCAAAATGGCTTAAAGAAAGCATATAAAATATGAAGAGCTGCTTGTGAGCGTGATTTCTAGAACGGCTGGGCCCTAGTCATCCTCATCTTTGCCCGTGTAGTGTGAGCCGCTGTGTTGAGGCGGAGGAGAAAAGAAGGGTGAGGAGGTGAAGAAGGGGAGATGGAAGGTGGGGGACGGCGAGCGCTCCTCACGGACGGGACTGCTGCTGGGGCTCTGTCTGGGACTGATGGCCTGTAACATCCGTCCTTTTCCCTCTTTCAACATGTGCTTCTGTTAGACACACAACACATCCTATTAGTGAATTACATATTTAAAAATAAAAAAAAAGGTACTCCTATTCACTGAAAATCTTCCCCTCCCCCATAGTAGTGCTTGAATTTTAATCCATACAATACCAGTCAAAAGTTCCTAATAATTAAGTAATAATAAAAGTAGTCTCTTGTGCTCATTAAAGCTGCATTTGTTTGATCAAAAATACAGTAAAAACGAATTATTACAATTTAAAAGATCTGTTTCCTAACTTATTTTAAAATGTAATTTATTCCTTTGATGAAAGCATCATTCCTCCAGTGTCACATGATCCTTCAGAAATGTGACCCTGAACCACAAAATTTAGTTTTGTTAAAGTCTTAAGTCGCTGGGGTATATTTGTAGCAATAGCCAAAAATACATGGTACGGGTCAAAATTATTGATTTTTCTTTTATGCCAAAAATCATTAGGTTATTAATTAAAGATCATGTTCCATGAAGATATTTTGTAAATTTCCTACCGTAAATATATAAAAACTTCATTTCTGATTAGTGATATGCATTGCTAAGGACTTCATTTGGACAACTTTAAAGGTGATTTTCTCAATATTTAGATTTTTTTGCACCCTCAGATTACAGATGTTAGTATCTCGGCCAAATATTGTCCTATACTAACAAACCATACATCAATGGAAAGCTCAATTTCGAAAAATTGACCCTTATGACTGGCTTTGTGGTCCAGGGTCACAAATCATTCTAATATGCATGTTGCACCAGATTTGACGTCAGCAATGCCAAATATAATTAGTTCTTGTGGCTTATCAGTGGATAACAACTCACATTTTGGCTATCTTTTGATTTCAGAAGGTTCAAGGCTTAATACAGCGCATGGACTATTTTTATCCTGCTTTTTGTCCTGTTTGGAGCAGTAAATAGTACATCACCAAACACTTTTATTACAGCTTGGACATTCTGCAATGCCTCTATTGTCTCCCACAGAAAAATAAATCTTATGAGGGGAGTAAACTTTCATTTTTCATAAACTATTCATTTGCTCATTAAAACATCAATGCTTAAGATGTGTGGAAGAGCTGCAACCAGACTCACCAACGCCCCATCCGGCCCGAACATCTGCAGGAAGTTCCCGATGAACTCACGTGATTTCTCCTCCCATTTCTGAATGAGGTCAATGCCCTTCTCCTCCACCTTCTGTACAAACTCTTTACTCTTTTCCTCCACATCGCGGACCTTCTGCTTCACCTTATCCACGTGCTCCTGCAGGTGGTACTTCTTCTCCTGGGAGAAAGGGCAGCAGAGCTGGCATGTTACATCAAATCCAATACTTAAATGAGGGGATTTTCATTTGAACAGTTTTTATTAAAGGGATAGTTCACTCAAAAATGAAAATCTTGTCATCATTTACTCACGCTCATGTCATTCCAAACCTGTAGACGTGGGATCAAAACCTTTAGAAAGTACGGGTGGAATAATTTGGTCACTATTGTGCATTTCAATACATTTTTCGTATACAAATAAATCTTGAGCTAGTCCATCCTTCATTTATTTCCTTGGCTACTCAAAATGGCTTAAAGAAAGCATATAAAATATGAAGAGCTGCTTGTGAGCGTGATTTCTAGAACGGCTGGGCCCTAGTCATCCTCATCTTTGCCCGTGTAGTGTGAGCCGCTGTGTTGAGGCGGAGGAGAAAAGAAGGGTGAGGAGGTGAAGAAGGGGAGATGGAAGGTGGGGGACGGCGAGCGCTCCTCACGGACGGGACTGCTGCTGGGGCTCTGTCTGGGACTGATGGCCTGTAACATCCGTCCTTTTCCCTCTTTCAACATGTGCTTCTGTTAGACACACAACACATCCTATTAGTGAATTACATATTTAAAAATAAAAAAAAAGGTACTCCTATTCACTGAAAATCTTCCCCTCCCCCATAGTAGTGCTTGAATTTTAATCCATACAATACCAGTCAAAAGTTCCTAATAATTAAGTAATAATAAAAGTAGTCTCTTGTGCTCATTAAAGCTGCATTTGTTTGATCAAAAATACAGTAAAAACGAATTATTACAATTTAAAAGATCTGTTTCCTAACTTATTTTAAAATGTAATTTATTCCTTTGATGAAAGCATCATTCCTCCAGTGTCACATGATCCTTCAGAAATGTGACCCTGAACCACAAAATTTAGTTTTGTTAAAGTCTTAAGTCGCTGGGGTATATTTGTAGCAATAGCCAAAAATACATGGTACGGGTCAAAATTATTGATTTTTCTTTTATGCCAAAAATCATTAGGTTATTAATTAAAGATCATGTTCCATGAAGATATTTTGTAAATTTCCTACCGTAAATATATAAAAACTTCATTTCTGATTAGTGATATGCATTGCTAAGGACTTCATTTGGACAACTTTAAAGGTGATTTTCTCAATATTTAGATTTTTTTGCACCCTCAGATTACAGATGTTAGTATCTCGGCCAAATATTGTCCTATACTAACAAACCATACATCAATGGAAAGCTCAATTTCGAAAAATTGACCCTTATGACTGGCTTTGTGGTCCAGGGTCACAAATCATTCTAATATGCATGTTGCACCAGATTTGACGTCAGCAATGCCAAATATAATTAGTTCTTGTGGCTTATCAGTGGATAACAACTCACATTTTGGCTATCTTTTGATTTCAGAAGGTTCAAGGCTTAATACAGCGCATGGACTATTTTTATCCTGCTTTTTGTCCTGTTTGGAGCAGTAAATAGTACATCACCAAACACTTTTATTACAGCTTGGACATTCTGCAATGCCTCTATTGTCTCCCACAGAAAAATAAATCTTATGAGGGGAGTAAACTTTCATTTTTCATAAACTATTCATTTGCTCATTAAAACATCAATGCTTAAGATGTGTGGAAGAGCTGCAACCAGACTCACCAATGCCCCATCCGGCCCGAACATCTGCAGGAAGTTCCCGATGAACTCACGTGATTTCTCCTCCCATTTCTGAATGAGGTCAATGCCCTTCTCCTCCACCTTCTGTACAAACTCTTTACTCTTTTCCTCCACATCGCGGACCTTCTGCTTCACCTTATCCACGTGCTCCTGCAGGTGGTACTTCTTCTCCTGGGAGAAAGGGCAGCAGAGCTGGCATGTTACATCAAATCCAATACTTAAATGAGGGGATTTTCATTTGAACAGTTTTTATTAAAGGGATAGTTCACTCAAAAATGAAAATCTTGTCATCATTTACACTCTCAAGTTGTTTCAACCCTTCAACCAAGTTTATTTCTTCTGCTGAACACAAAGGAAGATATTTTGAAAAAAAAGTTGATGGCCCACATTGACTTCCATAGTATTTTTTCTCCATACTATGGAAGTCAATGGGGATCATCAACTGTTTGGTTACCCATATTCTTCAAAATATTTTCTATTGACTAAATGACAGAATTTAAATTTTTGGGTGAACTGTCCCTTTAAGAGGTGGAAGGTGTTTAATCACACTCACGTTGATGAAGCTGACGTTCAGCTCTTTGGCAGTGTAGCCTCTCTGCAGGTTGCGGCGCACGTAAACATCATAGTCACGTACGATTCGTGTGATTATGTCGGATGTGGAGATGCCCTCTGTTCTCTGAGTCGGTGCAAACATACCTGAAAGGAAGATTTAACAGCATATATTATATTAAAAACTATTTTTGACTGCTATTTAACGGTGTTTGCAAGTTGCTAATACCTACCTGCCTCCTTTATGTGTTTGTAAACATCATCACTTCCAGCTGAGATGTATGGGATGTCATCATGGGCGACAAAGTCTATCTGGGGACAAAATATCATCATATTAGCCGAGTTTCACAGAGTGAGACAGTTCTGTGTTGATAATGAACCAGATTCAAAAATCAAGTTCAAAATCTATGATGATGCAAATATTTATCTTAATGATTTTTTTGTACTTTGCAAGTTGTTTTTTAATGTTAAAGAATAAGGTAACACTGTATTTTACAGTGTCCTTGATCCACACTACAAGCACTTATTATAGTAATAGTAAACTATGCATAATAACAAGCAACAAAGCCTAAACCAAACCCTAACTTTAACTCTAACTCTATAGTAAGCAATCATGTTGTTAACATTATATAACATCATTAACAATATTTAAAAAAAATGTCTATATAGTTATTTTATTATTTGTTATACATTTTTTGTATGGATGTTTTTTGGAGCTTAGCAAACTTGACTTTGAATTGCAGTTGAATGGAGAAGAACTGCATTAATAATTCTTCATATGGCATGAAGAGGAGTATATAAATGACACATTTTTCCTGTGGTAATCCTGGGAAATGCACATTTACATTGCCATTTACACATTTGGCAGATGCTTTTATCCAAAGCATTTAAGGTGTACGTTTGGTCAGTTCATGCATTCCCTGCCAATCAAACCCATGACCCATACTCCACTGTTTGAGCCAGAGGAATCTGGATACTCACTCTGTGCTCGGCCAGAAATGCAGGCGTCAGTGTCCATGGAGCGTTGCGGACCACCTCATCAACATAACGACAGTGACTCACTGCGTCGTAACGCTCATCCTCGTTCATGACTGTGAAACCCTTAAATTTATGCGTCAAATCATCGCTGCACACTGGAAAACCGATACGGTTTCATTGAACTGCATTAGTTAACATGAACCAACAATGAAAAGCACTCCTAAAGCACTTATTATTCTTAGGTAATGTTAATTTAAACATTTACTAATACATCATTAAAGTCATAAGTTGTATCTGATAATAATAATATTTAAAGGGGTCATAGGATGCCCATTTTCCACAAGTTGATATGATTCTTTAGGGTCTTAATGAAAAGTCTGTAACATAGTTTGGTTAAAATGTCTCAATGGTAGTGTAAAAAACACCTTTTTTACCCGGTCAAAAACAGCTCTTTTCAGAGCATGCAGTTTTGTAGCATTTTCCTTTAAATGTTAATGAGCTCTGCTGACCCCGCCCCTCTCTTCCGAGCTGCTCTCAGAGAGATTGTTTACTTTAGCCGCATTCATCGTGAAACTTGCTAATTAGCACATTATTAGGAAAGGTGATCTGCAAAAATTCATTAAAAAAACCTTACACTTACTTCTTCTGTAGAAGAGGCTGGATCACGAATGATTCGCGCGAGCATAGACGCATTTAGGTTGTGTACACACACTGCCAACACACATTTCAGTTCAAACTACTTGTAAAAGTGCATGTAGCGTCCTATGACCCCTTTAATGGACCTGAGCTAACAATGATTGAACAGTTGTATTTTCATTAACCTTTGTTAACCAACAATACTGTAACAAATCTATTGCTCACTGTTAATGTATTAAATAATGTTAACTAATGGGACATTGCTTTTTCAAATCAGTTTGAAAATAGTGACACATTTCTTATCAGGCCGATACCGATAACAGAAAAAATGAGCCGATATGGGCCGATACCGATATGGTGGCCGATATATCGTGCATCCCTAATTTTCATTAACCTTTGTTAACCAACAATACTGTAACAAATCTATTGCTCACTGTTAATGTATTAAATAATGTTAACTAATGGGACATTGCTTTTTCAAATCAGTTTGAAAATAGTGACACCAGATCGATTTGGGTTACAATTCAAGTTGTAAGTTGACAAACTTTTTTCGTTAAGAAAATTAATTTTATGCATATTACTAATCAAAAATTAATTTGTGAAATATTTATGGTAGGAAATTTAAAATAACAAATATCTTCATGGAACATGATCTTTACTTAAATATCCTAATTATTTTTTGCCATAAAAGAAAAAGCGACAATGAGATGCGTGTTGGGGAAAAGGCACTTGGCCTGCATTAAAGCACGAGCGTGTCCGGAATGAAACATGTCAAAGATGCCGTCAGCATAGACGCGAACTGGTCGGTCCTCTAATGAGAATACATACAGGTCATGCAGAGAATGTGTACACAATGAGGGTCAGTGTGGATAAAATCAGCATTTACACACCTGGAGTGCCACGGCAGGCTTCTTCCATGCTAACACGAACGTATGGGGCTTTTGCAGCCACCAGCTCATCAGCGAACGGTGCAGGTTCAGTCAGGCCCTAGAGACACGCACAAGATCAGTCTATCACGTGCACAGGAAATGATATCATCACGTTTGAGTGCCGGCTGACAGCAACCTTCCCAATACTCACCAGAGTCCTCCGTGGAAGTTTTCGGAAACGCTCTGCCTCCTTCATCTCACCGTTTAACTCCTCTCTCTTCCTCTTCCTGCCGAACCCTGAACTGTGTGCCTCCATCTCTGCATAGAAAAAAAAAATACACTGTTATCCTTCTCCATACCACTCATGTGCTGCAGTGTTACAACAACTTTGTGTAACAGACAAATTCACGTCGTTAACAACTGAAAATCTTCCTAGCTGCTTTTGATTTCTTTTCAGTGGACAGTAAAAATATAGTGCTCACATGGAAACTGCAGCGATTTTTGCTATTTTACATTTTGCACAAACATATGCACAGTTAAGTTTTTTCCCATGATATATCTGTACAGTGTACAGATTAAATAAAATATGTAATATTAAATACATGAGCATACATAAATAATCAGATGAATTTTAGACACTTTAAATAGTGTTGTAAATATTGTACATATTAATTCAAATGCCTTCCTTTTGTACTTAAGTATTTATAATGATAATATATGATACATTTTAATCAATAAATCTTAAATACTTCATTACTTTATGAAGGAATGTTTCTATTAGGGATGGGTACTACTGACAGATTTTACAGATCGATTTGGGTTACAATTCAAGTTGTAAGTTGACAAACTTTTTTCGTTAAGAAAATGAATTATTATGCATATTACTAATCAAAAATTAATTTGTGAAATATTTATGGTAGGAAATTTAAAATAACAAATATCTTCATGGAACATGATCTTTACTTAAATATCCTAATTATTTTTTGCCATAAAAGAAAAAGTATGTGGACCACGACTACAGTTTTTAAAAATGAAGACTTTTAAAAGTGACTGGACCCAAAACAGCCTAGAAATGAACATAACTATAGCCACTGTAGACATTTCCATGACTTTTTAGTTTTGTTCATTTCTAAGCCTTCTCAAGGCATAAAAAAAATAAAAAAAAGTGTAGTTCACAACATCTTTGAACTATGATGTTCAGCAAACTATTAAATCATTATTTTATTTAAATAAAGACAACATAAAGATACACAACAGAGGCACCAAACTAACAATTGAAACAGCTAACGTTACTGCACAGAAGTATCAGAGTAACGCCGATGAAAAGGACTTTTCCCTCAATGCAGAGAAGGGACTCAATTTAAAGTATTTCAAGTAAGATGGGGCATTTTATTTTGAAATATGATAACAGATGTAAAGTACTAACCTTGATTCAGAAGCTGGTCTCCTCCTCGAACGCGCCTTTCCTGCATATCATAAGCTGAAGACCGCGCTTGGCTTTTAAGCGCCAGAACAACCCATTTCTGTCTTAAACACTTTATAATGCTGATACTCCATGTGCTGCTGATATGACAGCTCTCCCTTCATCATCATCATCATCACTGCTCAGAGACAACACGCACACTTCCGCTTCCAAATCCTCCTATCTAACGGTTACTTGTTGCAACAACCGCTAATAAAACTACAAGAGTGCGCTTCTGCAGTCAGACTGTTTTTAATCATATAAAATAAAATATAATATAATATAATGCGCCACTACATAAGCGCAAACGGTTAGAGATTTTCCTCCAAGATGGTGATAAGTGCTGTCTTTTGCGTGTTATGAGGGAGTCGTTTGTGTCGAATTCTGTCGATTTTACTTCAGAATTGAGAATAAAGCCGATAAAGTAATTAGTTACTTTTTTGGAGTAACGCAATATTGTAATGCATTACTTTTAAAAGTAACTTTCCCCAACACTGATTATTATATTATATATAAATATATTTAATATATAAACAACATATTTTTCTTAAATGTATACATGCATGTGTTTGTATTTATATAATAAATAATAATACACAGTGCACACACATATAATATGTAAACAAAAACTTTTACTTTGGATGCCATTAATCGTTTGACAGCACTACTTTATTGTGTTATCATGATGTACTTTGAGTTGAAAGTTTGACAGTCTTTGAAATGTCAATCTTTATGTTTCTAGAAAAATCACACAAATGAAGGCCGCACACTGGATAAGCCATATCAGTCAATGTTGTTGCTGAGTGCATTAGCCATGTTCCTTTATCAAAGCTAATATGTGGGGGGGGGAAACTACAGGCTATAACACAAAACTCTTCATGTATGTTCTGTTTTCTAGAACAAATTTACAGTTATACATGGTTTAACAAATTAAGATAATTTACACACATAGTAGCCTACTTGTAGTTCGGACATGAAGGTGCTAATTACAGAACAAACGAAAAAGGAGACATTTGACATATCACAAGCTGTATTTATCAAGGAATTAACTGTACAGAGTCAGTCAGGATCTGAATTACACAGCATTCATTCATTCACTGATTCCATGTGGTTTCATCATGCACAGCAGTACCATTACAGGGACAATGTTATTCATGCAACCTGAATTGCCCAGTTTCCTTTCGATTTCTTTGCTTTGAGCTTTGGAGAAATAACCCCACGGATATTCAAGACTGATATTAAAACCCATAAAATGTTCTTATTTCACAGCAGAAAAAAAGAGCATTTTTGTTTGTACAGAAGCAATTACAATTTGTACAGGTCATCGAGCTGCTGAGCTATAACCAGTGGTGCTTAAGGGTCTGACACTATAGACGTGACACGGGGAGTGAGTTTCAGTCATACCCAAACATTTAAAGAAGATAAAAATGTTACTATGAGGGTTCATCTGCCATAAAACCCGCTTAACGTGTGATACTGTATATATAAAAGTAATCAAACAACTTTTAAGAATATAGACATCACAAGAAACTCGAAAAACATTAGTGTAGTAGCTGAAGTAGACAAGGCTATTAAACCATAAAACAATATGTATTTACTGTTGGGGTTGTGCTTTGTGTTGATTCAATGGATCAGATCCATCTTGGATTTAATAACATTTTATAAATGTTTCCAAATGCTTCCGGTTACACACACAACAGACTTGCATGTGACGGAAGCAGCAGGTATTAAATGTGTGTATGCAGTTGTATGAATGAGAGTGTAAGCCGGTGGCATTCATGATTTCTTAAAATATGCTGCTGAATGACCACATTGTTTTATAATACTGCTAGCTGAGCTAATCACAAAACACAGCAACTTGTCCCAGACCCTCAAGCACCAATCCTCCGCTCACAATAGCACTGTGCAATGGGGCAGTAATTTAGTGCAAAGGAAAAGTTGCATAAATTTTCTACTTGCAAGTGCATACATTATTTCCGTTCGCCACCACATTGGACACTTTTACTGCATACCCTCTGCCTGTATAAGTTATTCTATTGCATAAAAATAGGATTTTTTTGTACCAAAAAGTAGACTTGGAGACAAAACGAAGGGCGTCAAAGGAAGAGAAATTCAGACCCAGACACAGAAAGCTCTTTCGATATATATATATATATATACAATGTGTTAAGATTGTATAGAGAAATGAGAGCTGACAATTGTATATTTAAAAGCAGGGACATTACAAAAGCATTTGCATGATGCTCTGTTCAGATAAAAAAACAAACATGAGCTTGCAAAGCGAAAACGACTAACTTGTTGATTGAAAAAAAATGGTACATGAACATCATCTCCTCCCTCTCAATGATTGGTTTACACTTCTCTTCATAGAAAGAGGACCATTGCTTCTAACGTTACTTAGCTTTTTTTAAATTTTATTTAAAGACAATGTGTTTAGGACTACGGTTGACAGACTTTAGGACAATGAGGCACAAATATAATACCTGAAACCATTACGTTTCCGTTTAGCACACACTTTGACATTTAATTTCAACCCTGTATGTTGCATGAAAAATCGCATGTCATTATGTAGTCAGCTCATTTGTGTGCATGTATACGTATGGATCTCAAAAGAACCTAATTGATAATTTGTGTCAACGTTTGCAGAGCTGTCTAAAGCATGTACCGCTTTTCTTGCAATATACCTTGCATTTTTGCTAGCTATGGGCTTTCTATACGATCACCTGCGGAACTACACAATTCAAAGACATATTTATCCCAGTTTCTGCCAAGAAGGAGAGACAATCACATAACATCTACATGGCATTCAGCTGTCATCTTACAAACATCACCAGTTAAATCAAACACCTGCATCCATTCAGCCCTGCTTGGAAATAATGCTGGGAGAAAGTGACAAAAGGAAAAAAACTTGTGGAGTTTTACAAAACAATCAGTTCTGTGCTTGGAAGACTTTTGAGTATAAATAAAATGATGTAAACCAGATCTCGCATTCAGAATGGCTTGATGACGAATACGACGTGTACATGACACATAAACACAACTGATTTGGTAATCTGTCATTAAAAGAGCAAATTAACTCACACTCGACATTTAATGCATAATATGAGATTAATGGTTGAGACTTGGGAAAACTTGTGTATGAAACCAACAAACCCCAGTAATCAAATCTGAGAATACACACTCACAGCAGGTGAGCTGCTTCCCTTTATTTGAAACAGACCATTTATTTCTTCAGTTGGAAGTTAAACCTTGTAGGCATGCTCTGATATGTCATACGGCGTTCAAACATGTGTGGATGAGCCAATGAATACAAATCAACACTTTAACAGTATAAAAGAGCAAAACAACTTACAAAATAAACAGACAAAACATGCTCTTCAGAAAAAAGACCAACCTTGAGAAAGATTTTGGCATATTTCCATTCTCTTCAGCGCGAGATTGTATAGAACTGATGTTGAGACGTATAATCTACAAAGAGAGAGACGGGTACACATACATATGGGTCATCTTTTTCACAGACGGATTAGAAAATAATCTTCATGAGCTACTTTACTATAACATCTTTCTCGTTTATCCTCCATTTGCCTATGCTATCAGCTCTTTGGCCCATATGGAGCTTCTGAATTGTCATGGTCCTTGGCAGCCACTAGAGGACGCTCACTGACACATGAGCTCCGTGCTCCTCCATGTTGCCTGACTCCATACTCAACTGGACAGCAAGACATAAAGGGAGTTCACAGTGACGCCTTCATTTCCTGATCCTGTCAGAGCACTTTCCTGGATTTCCAAAGTCCTGGCTCACTACTATCGTGTGCCTCATTTCTTCTTGCCTGTCTTTTTCTCAGGCTTTTCACCCTTGTCTGAGCGCACAGATCCCCCGTCGGCTCGGTCTGACTTTTCACCTCTTTCCGAACCGCCTGCCCTGCTGCCATCCCTGCGCGTTCCCTCGTCAGTAGATGAGGTAGTTGGATTGGTCTGCCCCGGTTTGGCAACCTCTTCATGCTCACTTATACTGGTGTTTATACTTGTGGTCCAGCTTTTCAGATCGTCCTGCAGACCAAAGAGAGATTGAAGTCTTCACACAAAAAAGTTGACCTGAATCAATGTAATGAGCTATAGCCAGGACCGCACAGAATCAGCAAGAGAGACCCCCATAGAAAGCTTTGGAGATTTCTACAGATTTGAAACCTTACCTACCTACCTTATTCTTTAACATTAAAAAACAACTTGCAAAGTACAAAAAAAATCATTAAGATAAATATTTGCATCATCATAGATTTTGAACTTGATTTTTGAATCTGGTTCATTATCAACACAGAACTGTCTCACTCTGTGAAACTCGGCTAATATGATGACATTTTGTCCCCAGATAGACTTTGTCGCCCATGATGACATCCCATACATCTCAGCTGGAAGTGATGATGTTTACAAACACATAAAGGAGGCAGGTAGGTATTAGCAACTTGCAAACACCGTTAAATAGCAGTCAAAAATAGTTTTTAATATAATATATGCTGTTAAATCTTCCTTTCAGGTATGTTTGCACCGACTCAGAGAACAGAGGGCATCTCCAGGTTAAGTTCTACACATTCCCCAACCCTTGTGTTTTACTTGCTTATGAAATATTTACTTACTTTACTTATGAAATATTTCGATTTATTTGATTAATGCTTTCTGCCAATGAGTTTTTTCTGTGTGTATGCCACATAAGTGTGTAGTCCCTGCTGGGACTGGACTACTAGCTGATGGCTTGGTCAGGCTAGTTTGAGCTGGTAAGTCAACTTAAAGGGTTAGTTCACCCAAAAATAAAAATGACACCATGTTTTACTTACCCTCAAATAGGGCTGTGCAAAAGATCGAATGTGATTTTCATGTGCATCTCATCAGTAAAGCCGGTTCTGTGATTATTAGTAAATCTCCAGCACGTGCTTTCAGATGGAGCGGTATTTACTACAAAGCTACGCAAAATCGCGTTCAAAATCACAGGCGATTCATTGTGCTTGTCAGTGAACTACGGCTCTGTGTAGTAAATACTGCTCCATCTGAAAGCACGTGCTGGAGATTTAATACTAATCACAGAACCGGCTTTACTGACAAGATGCGCATGAAAATCGCATTCGATTATTTGCACAGCCCTACCCTCAAAGCATCCTAGATGTATATGGCTTTCTTCTTTCAGACAAATCCAATCGGAGTTATGTTCAAAATTTTCCTAGCTATTCTAAGCGTTAGAATGGGAGTAGATGGGTGTTTTTGTTCAACAGTCCAAACGTAGTCAAATAAAGCGCGCTCATCCATAATAAAACGTGGCTCACACGGCTCCGGGGGGTGAATAAAGGCCTCCTGTGGCGAATTGATGCATTTTTGTAAGAAAAATATCCATATTTAAAACGTTATAAACATTTTTATCTCACTTCCGCTAACTGTCATACGCGGAAGCCGTTCCGGGGATGACGTAGAACATATGCGTCGTGCACGCGGCTGTGAGATATGCTAGTCTCGCGATTTTGTTTACAGGAGCAAAGGAAGCAACGTTTCCTTACTTTACCAAAAGGAAAACCAGTCTCCTCTTGGCTTATATCGAAATCCTCCTACATTCTTCTTTACAAATCCTCGTTTTGTGCTTGTAATTCGTTACCGGCTTTTTGTTTTGCTGTCTCTCCGCTGCGCTTCCGCATTTGTCATGAATCACCGCCGCGTGCGCGATGCATACGTCCTATGTCATCCCCCGGAACGGCTTGCACGTATGACAGTCGGCAGAAGTGAGAAAAAAGTATTTATAACATTTTAAATATGGATATTTTTCTTACAAAAATGCATCGATACGCTACAGGAGGCCTTTATACACCCCCCGGAGCCAGGTGAGGTACGTTTTATTATGGATGGATGGACTTTATTTGACTATGTTTGGACTGTTGAACAAAAACACCTACCTACTCTCATTCTAACACTCGTAAGAGCAAGGAACATTTTTAATATAACTCCAATTGGATTCATCTGAAAGAAGAAAGTCATATACACCTAGGATGCTTTGAGGGTGAGTAAAACATGGGCTAATTTTCATTTTTGGATGAACTAACCCTTTAAAACAGCAATAAACTAGCTTCTACAGTATGCTACGTTAGTCAGCTTTTCAGAAAATGTCTGAAGATTTCATCTAGGCCTGATTAAAAATGTATTACCGACTGAATTAAAGGTGCAGTAGGAGATCTTGGAAAATGCTAACTTTAGCCTGATGGCACTGAAAGCGTACGTCCCACCCTCCCTGCAAATTGCCGTCCAAAGCCATGCAACTCACCTCATCTTTAGCATGGAACAGAAACTCACTTCCATCCTTAGTTCTAAAATTATAAAGCAAAATAAATGTTATGCAAACACTCGTAAGAGCAAGGAACATTTTTAATATAACTCCAATTGGATTCATCTGAAAGAAGAAAGTCATATACACCTAGGATGCTTTGAGGGTGAGTAAAACATGGGCTAATTTTCATTTTTGGATGAACTAACCCTTTAAAACAGCAATAAACTAGCTTCTACAGTATGCTACGTTAGTCAGCTTTTCAGAAAATGTCTGAAGATTTCATCTAGGCCTGATTAAAAATGTATTACCGACTGAATTAAAGGTGCAGTAGGAGATCTTGGAAAATGCTAACTTTAGCCTGATGGCACTGAAAGCGTACGTCCCACCCTCCCTGCAAATTGCCGTCCAAAGCCATGCAACTCACCTCATCTTTAGCATGGAACAGAAACTCACTTCCATCCTTAGTTCTAAAATTATAAAGCAAAATAAATGTTATGCAAAGAGAACACTACACAAGTAACCAATCTTTTTGGAAAAGCTAATGAAGTACTTGAGAGTGAAGACATTCTTCTTCTTTTTGTAACCATTGTTGATATCACAGGCACAACGGCTCAGGTTGATAAGCGGCTCGTTGTTGTAAGGTGTGGAGGTGTTCTTCGCATCCTTATAGAAGCCCAGCTCACCTTTATTCAGCACACAGTACAAATTTACCCAAGATCTGCTGTAGTGTGGGAGAGAAAGCAGAAGATTTGACCATCAGAACCCAGATGACACCATGGACTGACTAGCTACTCACCTACTGAGTCTGGGATGACCAGCTTTTAAGCAAGACCAAACTGCTGCAAAAATCATTAGACCTTTAGAAAGAGACGGACAGACCATGGCTTACCTTTGTAGAGAGGGAGAAGAACAGTCGGCGGCAAAGAGAGCATAAGAAAGAAGAGAGATTTTGGTTCATGAGATATACTGCAACATAAACGCAAATATGCTAGTATGAAAATGGCGTCAGTGGACAGGCAGATTATGTGCAAACCATGCTACAAAAGAACAGACAGCCATTCTTTTGAGTTCCTTAAACTCCTCAATGCAATGAATTGTTTTGTGACTTGGGCTGCAAAGGTGGCGTATCCGGTCTTATACAAAATGGCTGTATAAAGCTGTGAAGGGTGAAGGCTTCATACCTTGCTAGCCATGGGTTCAGAGACCCAGCATCTGTTGGTCTTCTGACACAGTATCATCCACCATCCAGGCTGATTTTAGTATTACCATGCAAGTGGCAAGCAGTGCTAACAGCTAGCTATTTTCTGCCATAGCTGGATATGAATCTTGTAATCAGAAATGACAGCCAAACAGCTGCTCCTCATTTTAACTTCAGGAAACATTTTAGGCTCGTAAAGCATTCAAGCATATCCCAGTTTGACTTGAAACTTGGTGAAAGAAAATAAGAGCTGCTTTGTAATAACAAATGTTAGTGCTCTAAGCATCAGTACACAATGCTAATAATAACATTAGCATAGCTTTGAATAACCAATCATACTGATTGGCATATTTGGTTTAGCCATTTCCATGCTAATTCCATGCCATGTGCCCATAATTTTTAGACCACAAAGCCCCACCTGTTTGAACTCTTCTTTTGGCCTTCAATGTCTATTTTGCGGAAGAGGAACCCTTCATGCTGGGCCATGTGGGTAGCCGGCTGGGGAACTGGTGGGCTGCTCTGGGCTGGTGCAGACCTTGAGCGCCGTGTTTCGCCAGCTGTTGGCTCCTTGGGTCGTGGTCTTCTTCTCGGTTTGGGTCTGTCGCGAGCACGTGGTCGGTCCGGTTTAGAAGACTTCTCAGGAAAACCATTGGGTAGACATGGAATCTCTCCTCGGGCCTGAGTTGGAAATAAACAGTAATGTGATAAAATGTAGTTTAAAACAAGATACATAAACATTAGATTGTCCACACACCTGTGCTGCTTCTCTTTCCTGAAGCTGCTCCACAATCTCAGCTAGTGTCGACCTTTTGTCCCTGCCAACATAAAGGGGTGAAATCTGAGACCTGGAAATGCTATTTTGCTTGAACAGAACAGAAAAAAGTTGCTGGGCTACTTCAAAGTCAATCGGGGCTTTCGTACCGCGTAGTTCTAGGAACTAGCCAGCATGGTGGTTTCTAGAGAACCAATTTCCCGCTTGGTCCATTTTCCTGGTTGCTCCAGCAGCAGGAACTCTAAAGCGGCCAACAGCGACATCTTTACTCGCGGTATTTTAATACAAACATCAACAACTGGTGAATAGAAGACGCCGTGATCAGAGTGGTTTTTGCTGTGTGTCATGGTTTTCATGATAACGGAGGTGAAATGTAAACGCACTATTTACTTTACTGAAAGAGCATGAAATTCTGACTAAATCTTCTATGACAACTTGCAGTGTTACATTTCATCGAGGCTGAGAAAACAACACAACACTGCATACAACAGGTACCTAAATGCCGTTATCGCTGTTTTCCATGCTCGTGGAGTAAAGATTTTTTTACATGGCTTTTTAAAAATGCCGGGTAGCCAGTGTTTTGTATGCGTTTGGCCAATCAGCACACACTTACATCACTGATAGTTCCTATAGAATTGTTTTAGACCCTACTCTGAAGTAGGAGCCAAATTAGTTCCCCCAAATGGGGAGTTCCTAGAACTAAAACCGTTCCTAGTTCCTGCGGTGCGAACACAGCAAAAAGCGCAAACGTCCGCCAATAGTTCTAGGAACTATGAAAAGGTTCCACCGGTGCAAAAGCCCCTAATATGGGAAAGTATTTACAATCCTTTTACTTCCTTCATGTGACCGGTTAAACAGTTCAACAGGTAATGTACAAGAAGAATTTATCCATCAGGAATCGACCGGATCATGAAAAGTGAATGTGAACTGCAGTCAAGAAGTTTTCTTAGAAATCTGTCCGTATTTATTTGAACCTCTGCTTGCTGTGAACTGACTTGGTGACCAGCATGTGGAAGCTTAAAGGTGATGTTCACCTTCAAGAGAATCTCTACATATCAGTATATATCAGCAATGCTGTATCTTTTGTAATGTGGTTTGTTTGTGATCACAAATAAAGTCACTCACCCACCACCAGAGCGTCTGTCCGACTGCTCCCTGGCCTCCTGCTCGCTGCTGTCCTGTCTCTCTGGTCGGTGTCTGTCCCTACGCCGCACCTCATGACCTTCCTGTTCACTAGATGTCTGTCTCTCCAGCCTCCTCTCTACCCTCCCAGCTCGTTCTCGCCACACCTCCTGAGGCAGCTCATCCCTGCGTGCCCGAATCAGCTGCTCAGTAGATAGTTGTCTCTCTATCCGCGACTCCCTTGGTGGGGGATGCTGCTCCACCAGAAGCTCTGAGCGGCTGCTCCCGCTCCCTCCCACCATGCTGTTTAGGCGTTCCCTTCCTCCGCCTGGCTCCTGGAGCACCACCTCTGCCATCACATTCTCATGATACCGCTCCCATTCCCTCGCTCTCTCCAGCATGGGGTGGACTGCCTCATGGATATGTTCGATCTTCTGCTGTGGGACTTGGGCCTTAAATTCCGTTCGCAATTGGGTGACCTTGTGCTCCATAGCAGTGCCCAGTCCTGCAGCCACTCCAACAATCCCAGCATTCCTGGCTTCCTGAAGGCGATAAGTAGCAGCTCCATTCATGATAGGAGTGTAGTTGGCCACAGTAGAACCCAGTCTGCGGGCCACGGAAGAGGGAGAGGGCTGAGGGGTGATGCGCTCCAGCCGGGACTCACCCTGCTCGTATATGGTCTGTCTTATGATGGAGGAAGGGCTACTGCGAGCAGGAGAAGAGTCCTGAGGGTCCAAGAAAACCTTCCGTCCCAGCAAGGGAGTTGGAGGAAGCTTACTCTGCTCTGCTTTTATCTTCTCTACCTAAATCGTTAAACAAGAGAATGTGTTATTATTTATACACCCACAATTCCATTCTGTAACCTTTATAAAAAAGACATTATGCTATACACAATTCACCTTTTAATAAAAAAAAAAATTAATTTCAGTAGGTAGTCTATTGACAAGTTCAAGCTATGGTAAAATTAAAGAAAAGTTTCCAACTAGTAAAAATTGCACAAGTTGCAAGTAGAATGTTACAACAGTGACATCAGTGTGGATCTGTTTTGCTGTTTTTAATGTTGCTCAGGTGTGGTTGAATCATGCTCCTCCAGGGCCACTATCCTGCAGAGAATCCTAATAAAAAAAACCGAACCAGCTAATCAAAGTCTTCAGAATAACTAAAATCTTCCTGGCAAATGTGTTTGGCCAGGTTGGAACTAAACTCT